TCTCGAAATTAGAAATGGGGGGCTTTTATAAGAATATTATTTTGGTGAAAAAAACAGAGTTGAAAGATAAATTTCGTGGTTTATGCTGACGGCCTGACTGATTATATACGCCAGATATATTTTTCCAGAATTTAATTGCCCATAATTAAGAGTGCATATAACACTTGAGTGCGTATTATACACAAATAAATAGGTCTTGTGTACATTGATCAATCGGAAGGGGTGCTAATTGGGATTGTTCACTTGCCAATATATTAGCAAATATTGCCATGGGCGTTTATTACGTCGAATACGGTAATAGTTTCTATTGCTGATTGAGTTAGCAGACAAATTTGTGTTATTGGTCATGTTGGTTCTTGAATCAAACTTGCAGGGACTTTTAAGTTTTAAGGCTGGTTTGGTTGTGTTTTTGTGTTTGTATTTTTTCATGGTTTTTGAATAACACAGTTAATAAAAGGCTTGTAACATTTGATTATGAATAAGAAAACTTACTACTCACTGTGGAATATCGAGCCCAGGGAATGCCTGATAAACTTGTGAGATTTTTAAGTTGGATGACAATCATGTGATACCCCCCAATTTGTCTGGGAGCGTCCCAAATTTGCCTCCCTATCACAGTCGCAGACCCAGATGGGCCTTTGTCTTAGTAATCAGTTGGCAATTAAATCCATGTGGTGAACGATTTTTTACAATGTTTACTATAAAGAAAGTTCAGAAAGTCGTGACCGCTAGGTATTTGAAGGGTTGAACTTGAAACGAATAATTAGTATTTCTCTCTTCCTGTTCTCAGCCTGCATAGTTTAATATAACCATAGATACACAAGACCGGCCCAGTTTTTTGGCTGCAGCCCTCATGGTTCTCTTTTCTATTCTTGTTTATTGTACGATAAACAACTCCCACTCGTCGTTTATTTCTTTGATATAACCTGAACTCTTCCTAAACTTTCAGCTGTCGTGAGTCAGACTTGTGAGTAAACGTTGTCATTACTGTGGTGATAATTGCTGCACGTTCAGTTCAAATTCCAATTTTCATGATTAAGTTTCCTTTTCTAGTTTTGTGGGTTTCGCTCACTTGAGTTTACGTTTGCTGTGCTGTGTATGCGTTTATCTGACAGTCTGATTTGCAGTAGTTGAACTTTGTTTGAAAGTTGGTCTGTTGGATATCTCATTAGATGAGGGGCGGTCGGGTAGCCTAGGGGTTAAAGCGTTCGCTCGTCACGACGAAGACCTGGGTTTGATTCCCGACATGGGTACAATGTGTGAAGCCTGTTTCTGGTGTCCCCCCCCGTGATATTGCTGGAATATTGCTAAAAGCAGCGTAAAACTATCCTCACTCACTCGCTCAGATGAGTTAAAGATGTGATTTTATTATGTATTTGGTGATTAAATGTTTATTTTTTTGAAATCATCAAATCGATATGTCGAGTGAAATAACCATTCCTATGGTTCACAGAATCTAAGATTATTAGTCCTGATATTCATGAACATTTTGCCGAACCAATGAAACATCGAGATAAGCAGAGCTCCTGAAAGGTGCGTATCTGCGTAAAATACACATCAGAAATGCAGAAATACGCAGTAAAATAAAATTCAAGCGTATCAAATACGCAACGAACATTACAGATATGCTACAAAAATAAGTTTACCCAAATGCGAGCCCAGGAGATACAAAGGATGCTTTCAGTCTGCCTCAATGACGCGAGGACTCATTTACGTTTAGGCTGAAATACTGTCGATATGACAGTTAATTATGACTCACTCACTCACTCAATGACAGATTTCAGAGACAGAGCATGAAGATCAGTAAGAAAATACATGTGTTTTCTTGTGTAACAACATATTTGTCTCATCTCGTGATAAGAAGTATATGAAATTTTCACTCTTGGCGGCACCACGCATGGCCATTATCATCTTTGTCAGGTGACGTGGTGAGATAAACATGTTATTGGACAAGAAGGGACAACCAGCTGCGTGTGTTGTTTGTATATTCCCCTCGTGAAACAGCATGGGAACCACAGCAGCATGTTGACACTGGATCAGGTTCTGCTGGGTGGGCTGAGAATGATGGTGGCTCTTGGATAAATATTTGCATTCTGTTTTGTTGCTTTTGTGGCTGTCATCCATTAAAAAACAAACTATTGAAATGTATTATGGGCCTGTGGCCTTACATTACTGAAATATAGCTATGTCTATGTTTACGTCCATTCAAATAATAGATTTTAAACAAACACAGTCCTAATAATGTCCTTATTAGTTATGTGGATCTTCATGTTCAGTAACATGCAAAAGTATAGAGTGAAATGTAAAATATTCTTCTTCCATAGAATGTACTTATTGTATTTTGTGCTAGTTCTTTGATGCATGGCTTCAGATTTCATTTAACACAGATGTAACATGTTTATCATGGGGTCTTCAGCTTTAGAGTTGCATGGAAAACAGTAGACTTGTGGGGATGACTTAAGTTTAAGTTTAGTCAATCTCATTAAAATCAGATCTTAGTTCTCGCTACCGCTAAACAAAGATCTGAGGACATCCCATTACGGGTCACGTCAGAACGACCTTTCGCGAATTTTGACCGACCAATGAATGACTGACAAGAAATCGACATTAGCCAATCAGAAGGCAGCTTTCTCGAGCTTTACGACACTAGTTTCAAACTGGCGACTACGCTCCGAAACATATTTTGATGTATTCTCGATTAAAATAATTAAAACTGATAAGAAGAACATCCTGGAATGGCTTATAGATGGCCTTGATTATATCGATATAATCATAAAACCCGTAACTGTCGTTCGGAATACCCTCTGTTAAATATTTCATGATTGCATGATTAGAAAACACATTCCGACTGTCACTTTCATGATCTGGTAAGCGACGCTCTGATTGGTTGGATGAAAGGTCGTTCTGACATGACCCGTAATGGGATGTCCTCAGATCTTTGTTTAGCGATAGCGAGAACTAAGATCTGTGTGCTAACCAGTGTATGTTTGTTTCAGGCTGGGGTCGTGGCAGTTCATGGCAGACATGCCCTACACCTGTGTGTCGAGTGACAGCATGTGGCAGCTGTTGTGGGTGCTGCATCAGGGACAGAGCCACACCCTGAACCTCGACACCCTACCCCCTGTGGAACATTGTCAGGGCTATCTTAAGGGTAGGTGGTAGTGATAGTGGTGGGGAGGACGCCCTACCCCTGTGGAACATTGTCAGGGCTATCTTAAGGGTAGGTGGTAGTGATAGTGGTGGGGAGGACGCCCTACCCCCTGTGGAACATTGTCAGGGCTATCTTAAAGGTAGGTGGTAGTGATAGTGGTGGGGAGGACGCCCTACCCCCTGTGGAACACTGTCAGGGCTATCTTAAAGGTAGGTGGTAGTGATAGTGGTGGGGAGGACGCCCTACCCTAGTAGAACACTGTCCTGGCTATTTACAGGGACACCCTACCTCCAGTAAAACACTGTCAGGGCTATCTTAAGGGTAGGTGGTAGTGATAGGGGGCGGGGACACCCTACCCCAGTAGAACACTGTCCTGGCTATTTACAGGGACACCCTACCTCCAGTAAAACACTGTCAGGGCTATCTTAAGGGTAGGTGGTAGTGATTGGGGAGGGGACACCCTACCTCCAGTAAAACAATGTCAGGGCTATCTTAAGGGTAGGTGGTAGTGATTGGGGAGGGGATACCCTACCCCCAGTAGAACACTGTCAGGGCTATCTTAAGGGTAGGTGGTAGTGATAGGGGGCGGGGACACCCTACCCCAGTAGAACACTGTCCTGGCTATTTACAGGGACACCCTACCTCCAGTAAAACACTGTCAGGGCTATCTTAAGGGTAGGTGGTAGTGATTGGGGAGGGGACACCCTACCTCCAGTAAAACAATGTCAGGGCTATCTTAAGGGTAGGTGGTAGTGATTGGGGAGGGGATACCCTACCCCCAGTAGAACACTGTCAGGGCTATCTTAAGGGTAGGTGGTAGTGATAGGGGGCGGGGACACCCTACCCCAGTAGAACACTGTCCTGGCTATTTACAGGGATACCCTACCCCCAGTAAAACACTGGCAGGGCCATCTTAAGGGTAGGTAGTAGTGATAGGGGGAGGGGGTACCCTACCCCAGTAGAACACTGTCCTGGCTATCATAAGGGAAGGTGGTTGTGATAGGGGAGGGGATACCCTACCCCCAGTACTCAGTAGAACACTTTCAGGGTCATCTTAAGGATTGGTGGTAGTGATAGTAGGGGGTGGACACCCTGAACCTCAGTCAACCCAACCCTCATGAGGATGGATAGAAGGCTGATGATGGTCACAAGGAACAGCACTTGGCTCTTAGCATCATGATGAAACATGACAACAGCAGTTTGGTGTTGGCAGTTACGACATTGTAAGGGACCATGACGAAGATCAATTTGCTGAAGAAGTATTTATTTGTTCTGACTATGCAGATTTATCTCAACTGACCATTCAGCACTAGCCATTTCTGTTCTCAGATCCTGACAGCAGGCAGCAGTTGGCAGACAATTTGCTGAGTCTTCAGACATCAGAAACCATATACCTGCTTACGACATTTGCCAACATGGCTCAGTGTCGGCCTGAAGAAGAAGTAGATTTCATCCAGACAGTCAGCTTCGGGGTGTTCGAGGTCAGTCCCCAGTTGGTCAGCCACTCTATTTATGCTGTTATGTTTTTGTTTGTTTGTTTGTTTGTTGTTTAACGCCGCACTCAACAATATTCCTGCTATATGACGGTGGTCTGTAAATAATCGAGTCTAGACCAGACAATCCAGTGATTGACATCATGAGCATGGATCCACGCAATTGGGATCGATGACATGCATCAACCAAGCCAGCGAGCCTGACCACCCGATCCAGTTAGTCGCCGCTTACGACAAGCATAGTCGCCTTTTACGGCAAGCATGTGTTGCTGAAGACCTATTCTACCCCGGATCTTCACGGGTTATATGCTGTTATGTAAACTTGGATCTTCTAACACTGACATTCATGCTTGTTCTTGGTATGACTTTGATTGTTCAATTTATCAAATAATTTTTGCTGTTAATGCTTTGATTTTGTACAACTGTTTTGCTAAATTTTCTCTTCTTGTTACTTTATCTTGAAAAGATTAGCTTCAGTCCTTCTGGGGCAGTCACGGACCATTAACTAACAAAACATTTTGTTGTGTGAGTTGTGTCCCTTAGTTGTGTCAGGATCTCGCTTCCAATCTCACATTTTTCCTGAGTATGACAGTTCTTCCTGGTGTTGGGCGGTCGGGTAGCCTAGTGGTTAAAGCGTTCGCTCGTCACGCCGAAGACCCGGGTTCGATTCCCGACATGGGTACAATGTGTGAAGCCCATTTCTGGTGTCCCCCGCCGTGATATTGCTGGAATATTGATAAAAGCGGCGTAAAACCATATTCACTCACTCACTCTTCCTGGTGTTTCAAGGTTTGTTAGCACCATAGAGTTTCCTCCCACACCAAACAGATCTGTCTGTTATAAAACTGAAATACTTCTCAAAAGAACATACACTTTGCAATGACTGAATATTTTCTGCTTCTCAAGAATTACTTTAGAATATGGACATTTGTTGTTGTCAAGTAAAGGAATACTAAGTATATATAAGATATTTTCAGGGAAGTAGCATCTCTGTGAGGAGGGCTTATTATTGTTTCCAGATCTCGTACACGTGCAGCCACACGCGTGAGTTCTGCTCCAAGGTGGGACGAGAGCTGCTGTCATCCATTGTTATCCGACATCCCTTCATACTCTCGCTGCTGCTGCAGAGGTCAAAGGAGGTCATGCCAAAACTGGGAATGGTAAGTGGCTTTGTCACTTTTTCGTCATTTACAATTGTGATTGAAAGTTTTGAAGAAGCAATTTCAGATTGACCTGTGTTGGAGCAGAGAATTTCTGTATGTAGCAGTATAACAATGATCGGTGTATGATCCAGGTAGTATTCTATCAAAACTCAAGGCCTTCAGTGAGGCTTCTACAGTGTCCAACCCAGAATTGAAAATCAAGGGGGGACTTGACCCCCCATTATGTAGAAAATAGGAGGGATTTTGAAAAAGTAGGGGGGATAATTGCTTTCTTCAAAAATGTCTTATTTTGTATTATGTACTGGAACATCATCATATAAAAGTGTAAGATCAGAATACAGAACTGAAATGAATAACAATGCTTTGTGCTTTTTTCCATTTTGATTAAAAAAGTCTGTAATTCTTTTGTTTTTGCGCGACATGGTCATTCACTATTCAAAGATCGTCTGCTATGACAGTCGGCGATTCATATTGTGTGATTTCAGAAACGAAACTAAAACGATCTAAAATGCTCAAAAATATTTTCAGAACTAATCAAGATAGAATATTTATTGTCTTTAAACATCTTGTCAAAGGTTTTTGATTACTAAACAACAAAATACAACATAGTTTTGATCAAAGTTTTGATACGTTTTCTACTGAAGTAAATCAAATTTCGTTTCCTATGCCAATCCTATCGATAATTTATTCAGCAACCCAAGGGACGTCACTTGTGTTCGAACTTCCGGTTGTTATCGATCGGTCTTCGACAGTTGTTTACAATGTTTGCTGTGAACTGTCTTTCTTCGTTAATCGATTAAAGATTTAGTGAGTATTGAATCCAAAGGTAGAGATAAACAGCTGATAAAGTAAGTGACTGTACAAGAAATTACTGTGCGCGACAGATCGCTCTTTGATTTTTTTATGAGGGCGATTTGATTTTTTTTAACCGTGAATCACACAATCGCGGGGCCTGGGTTGGACACTGCTTCTATAAAGCTAGCTGAAGTGACCTTATCTCTGTGTTGCCCCCTATAAACGATTTTGATATTGACATGTCACTACACTGAGCTACACGCTGTTCCATGTTGTTTATGAAATAAATCACTTTATCGCACTTTATATGCTTCATCAAAGTGCATGTGTCATGATCTCTTAATAATAATAATAAGTGCATTTATAATGCGCCAGATTCAATTCACCAAGTGGATGCTCATAGCCCTCCACTATTAATACCCCTTTGAATGGATCAATGAGCACTCGATTTTTATTCTCATCTCCCCGGGGAGTATACAACCCAAGCTGCCTGTGAGGCGCTAGAAGGTTAACAGACACATTACCATCTCATCCTACCGGGTACCCACACACTGCTGGGTGAACAGAGGCACATTTCGAACAAAGTCACTTTCCCAAAGAGACACCACATGTGGTACATGTGCTTCAGTGTGGGGCAGGACCGAAGCCCTAGAAACTCTCAGGAGTCAAGCTGCTAAACGTGGTCACCCATCCAACTACTCTCCATCACCTGATTTGTGATGTGTGCGCTGTGCACAGGACCACGTGCCACCACTCTTGACAAATGCAATGTGATTCACTTCCTAAGAATATTGCCTTCAAATATATATTTTAGATTGTCCAACAATACATGTAGTTACCGACTTGGAAAACGGACTGGTAAAGATGGCAGCCAAAAATCTGAACCCTCTTGATGATTACATACTTGCATGATCGAAAATATAAGCACACATATTATTTGAATGCAGGTGTTTTAAGATGTGAATTTTATTAAGTTTTTATGGGGTTACGATTCCTGTACAGTATGGCGGGGTTTTAGTGTGGTATGTTCCGAATCGGGGGGTCTAGCCTGTAGGCCTGTGTCACGACATGTCAGTATCCAAATCATATAATATAGAGAGCCACACAGAGAGACGGTGAGCTTCAGCTACTATTCTGGAAGTGTTACTCACGATGCTGTGTGGCAAATTGTCTCGTTTTGTCTTGGGTGAGCAGGTACCTAGACTTACACAAGTGGGGGTCCTGGAGGGTCCCAGTAGGCAATATGAGGGTCCTGTAATGAAACATCTTCCAGAGGCAAGAGAGTTAACTGACTTTAAAAGTCCAGTTTCCACCTTTGCCGAACTAGGCTGGAATTACTGGGCTCGATCGTAGCGCCACCAGTGGCTATTACCAGTTATGTCCCTTCTAAGCCTCTCCTATGGACCAATCACATTCCACCTCTCGTATCACTTGCGTTTGCTTCACACAAAATGGTGGCGCCCGGTCAGTTAGATCTGATCGACAATCAAGATCTATATTCTGATCAAACGGGTCTTACATCGCGAAATCCATCAAATCACGTGAGCACCTTGATTAAAAACATGAAAAGATTTGGAAAATATCTGCTGACAACGAGTTGGCGGTGAACATGCTTTGCAAATCCTGCAATCGACCGAAATCTGTACGACAGTGTACAAAATGTAACTCCATAATACTAGCCTAGTTCGGCAAGGGTGGAAACTGGACTTTTATAGTCCGTTAACTCTCTTGCCTCGGGAAGATGGCAATGAAACAATGTGGACAGTGGTCATGGTTGATGGATGAAATGACGCCTATAACTGCTGTTGATGTGCTGTCGGTAGTCTGTCGTACAGAGTGAGTGAGTTGGGTTTTACGCCGCTTTTAACAGTATTCCAGTTATATCGCGGCGTGTCAGCTTAATGTGGTAGGAAAGCCCGAAGTGATGCAAGTCTCAGACGTTTACCACTTTGGTGAAACCCATGAGCACGGGTTTGGTGCTGACAAACCTAGAAACATAATCGGGGCGAACCGGGATCCGAACCCACAATCATAGGTTTCTGGCGTGCCCAAGGGATACAACTCTGCACAGCAAATCGCGGCGCCTTAGACGACTGGGCCACCCGTGTCCCCTCTGTTGTACAGACCCTGAAACAAATATATTCATTGCAGCCCATGCAAGTCTATAATAGTGGGCAAGTCTAGGTTACAGCAGTTTCTGAAAATGAAGAGACTCCCTGGGCACCATTTTATTACATAGTTTTTTTCTGTAAAACATGTTCATATCAGAGACTAGACATTAATCTACGCTGTAGGTACAGTAAATATTATTATGCGAGTGAGTGAGTGAGTGAGTTTGGTTTTACGCCGCTTTTAGCATTATTCCAGCAATATCACGGCAGGGGACACCAGAAATGGGCTTCACACATTGTACCCATGTCGGCAATCGAACCCGGGTCGTCGGCGTGACAAGCGAACGCTTTAACCACTAGGCTACCCGACCGCCCAAATATTATTATGCGTCCTGTGGGATGCAGTATATTCGTTTTCTGCATTTTGTGTTTCATTCTCAACATTTGTGCATACTGGATGCGTATTGTGCGTCGCATGAAACCCTGCAGGTGCTCATGCTCAGTTCCAAATAATGGTAATCTTCTGTTTAAGCTCACCTGACTGAACATGAAGTGAGCAATCAATAAGGTTACCTTACATTTAATGTCATGAAAAGATGCTGAGAAGATGGAATGTACTTAAATAATTTTTCACTTTACCTTCCCAGATGTCCCTGTATTTGTTCCGTGAGCTGCCGATGTGGTCGTGGTTGCCTAGCGATCCGGACATGCTGGTGCTGAGGCAGTGGCTGCTGTTGTCAGATCTCACACAGCCGGAGAACCAGCTGGCGAGACTTGTGCTCAGTCGGATGAACTGGAGCATCGAGCCACAGGTAACACAAGCATCCTTAAGGAGATAATTAGAGAATAACCAACGAGCTGCAAGGAATTATGGATTATGTGTTCGGAATGAAGTAATTCAGAAGGTATATAGAATCTGTAATTCCAAGTTGCAAGAAGACAATTCTTCATATTAACCATTTGTTATTTTCTGAGAAAATATAGAAATACCGTATTCGACGTAATAAGTGCCCCGCTCTAATAAGCGCCCATGGCGATATTTGCTAATATATTGTCTAGTGAACAATCCCAATTACCACCCCTTCCGATTAATCAATGTACACAAGACATATTTATTCTTGTATAATACGTACGTTAAATGCACCCTTAATTATGGTAAATTAAATTCTTGAAAAATATATCTGTAGTATGTAAACATTTCAGGCTGTCAGCATAAACCACGAAATGTAAGATCTTTCAACTCTGTTGTTTTTCACCAAAATATTATTCTAATAAGAGCCCCCCATTTCTAATTTTGAGAGCGCCCTGGGTGCTTATTATGTCGAATACGGTATGTGGATTTCCTGACCTCAATTAGAGACAGCAGTGCAGTGCTATACCCGTGCGTCATGTGAGTTGTACAAGGTTGACCTGGTTTTATTATTTTGATTGAATAATGATGGCTTCATTTAGGTCCCATAATAGAGGTTATGTTTGAATGTTTTTTCATTTATGAAAATCATGAGACATATTTGAGATTTACCCTTTATTAGATCAAACAATCACATCAAATACTTCAATTTCACTACTTTGTTATTTCTCAACAAATGTGATCCAGACAGTAAAAGTTCGAGCTGTATCCATTTGACCTGTCTACAGATAGATCGAGGTCGTTTGGTTGAGGCCTAGGGGCGTTGGTTAGCCTAGTGGTTAAAGCGTTCGCTCGTCACGCCGAAAACCCAGTTTTTGATTCCCGACATGGGTACAATGTTTGAAGCCCATTTCTGGTGTTCCCCGCTGTGATATTCCTAAAAGCGGCGTAAAATAAATCTCACTTACTCACTGGTTGAGGCCTGTGAGCATTATATGTGCACAATCACTTGCAACATTCAGTATTTGATTGTAGTAAGAAATTCAGCATTATGAAATAAGCCAGTTTAGAAAATTTGGAACAATCCAGACTTACTTAGGTTGCCACAGATGTGCCGTCAGTGTCCCCTTCAAATCATATTTTGAGATACTGTTTTCGAAAGAATTTGTTTCGCTCAGTCAGATAGCATAGAACGTCCACTGGTTTTGGAAAATATCAAACAAGAACAAGTGCTGTATTCTCAATACGTTATGGGATACTATTAACGTGGCTGTATCTTCAAGGAATTGGCATTCAGGTTCAACATGCACTCAGAATCTCCCCATCAAAGGGTGAGTGGTATCTAATCAATAGAACAGAATTTTCATGAACAAAATAACCATTTTGTTTCAGACGGGAGCACCTGTACTGTCAGTACGACTTCACCGCCAGGTGGCGCTACTACTTGTGGAGTGCTATTCCAAGTACATATCCAACAGACACATGGGGGCCGTCATTGGAGAGGGGATCAGACAGGTGGGTTGATGATTACCTCGTGTAAAAACTCTGTGGTTTTGTTGTATTGACTGCGAGGCTGATCATGCTGATGTTAGGAACTAACTTCTGCAATAAGCTGAAATATTGGCATGGAAACCTATTCACTTGTGTCCATAATCAGCCTGTGGCGGAATAATTCTCCCCGTCTTTAATTCTTTGATAGTCTAGCCTTTATTCATGTTGTCAACACCTGCTGCAGAACAAAGGAAAATCCTGGACTAATTTTAAAGAATCTGGAATTAACTGTTTACTTTGTGACCTTTACATGTACCATTATGGATTCTGGGTTAGAATAGGTCCCCTTGAAACCTATGCTGGGCACCTTTCCACAAAGTGATTTTAGCGCTACGACTATTGTAAGCCAGTGTTAAAGAATGGTAGTTACAATCACCTTAGCGCTAAAATGGCTTTGTGGAACGAGGCCCTGGTCGTAGGGAAGACTTATTGGATCAGCTGCTCAGACTCTGCGAACGGTCCAAGTCATTGTACCTCAATGGTGTGCATATTTACTCATGATATCAATCACTGGTTTGTCTGGTCCGGATTCTATGCTCACCGCCAAAAGAAACGCGAACCATAGAAACATATAGAGAAGTATGTACCTTTCCACAGAGTGACTTTATACTTATCTCGATATTATCACGTGATTTCCAAACTTTACACGCCAATACTCACAGAGACAAATGGTGAATGTCGAGTCATGGGTCTATACCGTCACATGTGATGCGTTCATGAGCATCGATTCACACAACGTTCCAGTGTGTTCGTTTGTGTGTTGAACCAATTTAATATTATTTGAACATGAGGAATTCCTCATAATGTATGAATAATGTATGGCATTCATGTTTCTTTTGTCGCTGAGTATGTTGGTTACATGCTGCCATCATTGAGCTGGAACACTGGGCCCTGTTCCTCAAAGCGATCTTAGTGCTGCGTTGATCGTAAGTCTATGGTAAAGTATGGGAATTACGACCAACTTAGCACTAAGATCGCTTTGTGGCACAGGGCCCTGGTGAGTGTGGTGTAAATCAACAACCAGCCTGGGCCCCGTTCCTCAAAGCGATCTTAGCGCTACAATGATCGTAAGTCTATGGTAAAGTATGGTAATTACGACCAACTTAGCACTAAGATCGCTTTGTGGAACAGGGCCCTGGTGAGTGTGGTGTAAATCAACAACCAGCCTGGGCCCCGTTCCTCAAAGCGATCTTAGCGCTACAATGATCGTAAGTCTATGGTAGAGTATGGAACTTACGATCACCTTAGTGCTAAGATCGCTTTGAGGAATGGGGCCCTGGCATGGAGTTTTCTTGCAGATGGCTTCAGTTGTCCGACAGAACCAGACCCAGGAGCAGCAGTTCAACAACTGGGCCTGGGACTTGCTGCTGAAACTGAAGCTACACAAGCACAGCATCCCCTCTCCTTCACTGCAACTTGCCGCTGAGATGGAGCCACCAGACCTGCTGAAAGATGACCACTTGATGCCCGTCTCCAGGGGACTCAAACTGAAGAATCCTGTGGCTTGCTTTGTGGCTCTCACCATGACTAGTATTGGACACAAGTAAGGGTAGCTGTGTTGTACTGGTAGCCATGCTTTAGCTGTGTCTTTACCATGTCTTTGCCATGAAATAACCCTGCGTGGAGATTCCCAATCTCATTAAAATCAGATCTTAGTTCTCGCTACTGCTAAACAAAGATCTGAGGACATCCCATTACGGGTCACGTCAGACCCACCTTGCGCGAACTTTGACCCACCAATAGAATGACCAATCAGAAGGCAGCTTTCTCATGCTTTACGGCACAAATTTCAAATTGGCGACTACGCTTCCAAACATATTTTGACAAATTCTCGATTACAAATTTGAAACCTGAACAAAAGAACATTCTAGAATGGCTAATAGATGGTCTAGATTGTAAGGATTCAGTCGTCAAACCCGTAACTATCGTTTGGAATACCCCATGTTAAAGTTTTCGACATTGCATGATTAGAAATCACATTCCGACTGTCACTTTCATAATCTGGTAAGCGACGCACTGATTGGTCGGATGAAAGGTCGTTCTGACATGACCCTGAATGGGATGTCCTCAGATCTTTGTTTAGTGGTAGCGAGAACTAAGGTCTGATTTAATGAGATTGGGGGATTCCGGGTTGGAATAGAAACCTATACTGGTCGTAAGAGGAGACCAAATGGATCCAGGCTTAGTGACTGGGTTGATTGATGTGGATTGTTGTTCAGCATATCAATCACTAGATTGTCCAGTCCGGAGTCAATTATTTACTGGATTCCGTCATATGGCTGGAATAATGCTGAGAGTGGCATTGAACACACTCACTGTCAGTTTTGCTGCATCTGAAATATAAATACCACGGGTAAGATGGATGGTGTCTGTTTGTTAAATGTATGATGGAAACTTTATCCAGTGATTATCAGTATATCATTTGTTTAAAGTTCCCCTCGAATTTCTTGTCCAAAATTAAATTCCTAACATTTGTCACAAAAGGTGATATAGACCATTGGTTGGTCAATATGTGACCTACTTGATATAGTGTGTCATTGTGTGATGATTTTAAACCAATATAAGGATTAGATGGCAGGTAACTGAGGAGGCTGTTGACCAATAGGGACAAACAACAGTAGAATATGATCCTACCCAGATGCCTTGCATCCGTGTTCACACTATCAACCATTGGTTTGTTAGTAATATGATTGAATACATGACAATGCTTGTCGTAAGAGGCAACTAACGGTATCGGATGGTCAGACTCACTGACTTGGTTGATGCATGTCATCGTATCCCAATTGCGTGGATCGATGCTCATAATGTCAATCGCTGGATTGTCTGGTCCAGACTCGATTATTTACAGACCGCTGTCAATTAGCTGGAATAATGCTGAGTGCGGTGTTACACAACAAACAAACAAACAAACATATGATGTTCTGATATGAGGCTGTTTCTCACTTGTTTCAGCATTACAAGTTTTGTGACCGAGGGTATGGACTACCTGATAAGTCTGACCACATGTAACCAGTTCTCCGCTGTCATACACATCATCAGCTGCATCGTGCCCTACTTCTACGACTCCCCTATGTACTTCCTGCAGAGTGAAGGGTAAGCTGATGACTGGATCCTTGGAATAATCTCAAATATAGTAGGGGGGGCGCCAAGGGCGGCCCAGTCATCTAAGGCGCTGCGATTCGCTGTGCAGAGTTGTTTCCCTTGGACATGCCAGAAACCAATGATTGTGGGTTCGATTCCCATTTCGCCCCAATTATGTTTCTAGATTTGTCAGCACCATACCATGCTCATGGGTTTCATCAAAGTGGTAAACGTCCGAGACCTGCATCACTTCTGGCTTTCCTCCCACATTAAGCTGACACACCGTGATATAACTGTAATACTGTTAAAAGCAGCTTTTAACCCAACGCAATCACTCACTTACTCATAAATAGGGATAGAAGTTTGTCATGGGCCAGTTGTTTTACCTATATTTTTTTAAGTTCTTTGCAAACGTCCAACATTCATTTTGTAGATATTTTGTTTAGATTTCTGTTGTAATACCACATGTCTACATCCTATGCCTTCGCTCTATTACTTGTTGGTGGGGTGGCTTAGTAGTTAAAGCGTTCGCTTGACACGCCAAAGGCCTGGGTTCATTTCTTAAGCCCATTTATGGTGTCCCCAGCCATGATGTTGCTGGAATATTTGTTGAAAGAGACGACTAAATTAAATCAGTTGGTCAGACACAATGACGTGTTGACGCATGTAATCATTCCCCAATGACGTTTGACTTTGTCAACCACTGGTTTGTCTGCCCCAGCTTGCATTATTTACTGGCCGTCTTAAATATTACTGGCTGGAATATTTCTGACTGCTGCCTTGAACAAAAAACAATCTGAGGTAAAGTTTGCCAGATTTCAATCTCAGATTCTACAATTTCTAAAATGTCTCATTGAGTACTTAGTACTGATTATGGTGCTATTGCTTCAATTAAGGTTCTTGAAGATTCAGCAAACCCTTCTGGCCGCGGATGAATCACTTTTTAAGATGGCCAAGTCAGTTTTGGGTTCCCAGTTCCCAGGAACCGTCACTAAACAGTTCACAGACATGATACAGGTAGGTCATGTCACTAAACAGTTCACAGACATGATACTGGTAGGTCATGTCACTAAACAGTTCACAGACATGATACTGGTAGGTCATGTCACTAAACAGTTCACAGACATGATACTGGTAGGTCATGTCACTAAACAGTTCACCGACATGATACAGGTAGGTCATGTCACTAAACAGTTCACAGACATGATACAGGTAGGTCACGTCACTAAACAGTTCACAGACATGATACTGGTAGGTCATGTCACTAAACAGTTCACCGACATGATACAGGTAGGTCATGTCACTAAACAGTTCACAGACATGATACAGGTAGGTCATGTCACTAAACAGTTCACAGACATGATACAGGTAGGTCATGTCACTAAACAGTTCACAGACATGATACTGGTAGGTCATGTCACTAAACAGTTCACAGACATGATACAGGTAAGTCATGTCACTAAACAGTTCACAGACATGATACAGGTAGGTCATGTCACTAAACAGTTCACCGACATGATACTGGTAGGTCATGTCACTAAACAGTTCACAGACATGATACTGGTAGGTCATGTCACTAAACAGTTCACAGACATGATACTGGTAGATCATGTCACTAAACAGTTCACAGACATGATACTGGTAGGTCATGTCACTAAACAGTTCACAGACATGATACTGGTAGATCATGTCACTAAACAGTTCACAGACATGATACAGGTAGGTCATGTCACTAAACAGTTCACCGACATGATACAAGTAGGTCATGTCACTAAACAGTTCACAGACATGATACAGGTAGGTCATGTCACTAAACAGTTCACAGACATGATACAGGTAGGTCATGTCACTAAACAGTTCACAGACATGATACAGGTAGGTCACGTCACTAAACAGTTCACCGACATGATACAGGTAGGTCATGTCACTAAACAGTTCACAGACATGATACAGGTAGGTCATGTCACTAAACAGTTCACAGACATGATACAGGTAGGTCATGTCACTAAACAGTTCACAGACATGATACAGGTAGGTCACGTCACTAAACAGTTCACCGACATGATACAGGTAGGTCATGTCAATAAACAGTTCACCGACATGATACTGGTAGGTCATGCCACTAAACAGTTCACCGACATGATACTGGTAGGTCATGTCACTAAACAGTTCACAGACATGATACAGGTAGGTCATGTCACTAAACAGTTCACCGACATGATACTGGTAGGTCATGTCACTAAACAGTTCACAGACATGATACAGGTAGGTCACGTCACTAAACAGTTCACCGACATGATACTGGTAGGTCATGTCACTAAACAGTTCACAGACATGATACAGGTAGGTCACGTCACTAAACAGTTCACAGACATGATACAGGTAGGTCATGTCACTAAACAGTTCACCGACATGATACAGGTAGGTCATGTCACTAAACAGTTCACCGACATGATACAGGTAGGTCATGCCACTAAACAGTTCACCGACATGATACTGGTAGGTCATGCCACTAAACAGTTCACAGACATGATACAGGTAGGTCACGTCACTAAACAGTTCACCGACATGATACTGGTAGGTCATGTCACTAAACAGTTCACAGACATGATACAGGTAGGTCACGTCACTAAACAGTTCACAGACATGATACAGGTAGGTCATGTCACTAAACAGTTCACAGACATGATACAGGTAGGTCATGTCACTAAACAGTTCACCGACATGATACAGGTAGGTCATGTCACTAAACAGTTCACAGACATGATACTGGTAGGTCATGTCACTAAACAGTTCACAGACATGATACAGGTAGGTCATGTCACTAAACAGTTCACCGACATGATACTGGTAGGTCATGCCACTAAACAGTTCACAGACATGATACAGGTAGGTCATGTCACTAAACAGTTCACCGACATGATACAGGTAGGTCATGTCACTAAACAGTTCACAGACATGATACAGGTAGGTCATGTCACTAAACAGTTCACAGACATGATACTGGTAGGTCATGTCACTAAACAGTTCACAGACATGATACAGGTAGGTCATGTCACTAAACAGTTCACAGACATGATACAGGTAGGTCATGTCAAAAAAACAGTTCACTGACATGATACAGGTAGGTCATGTCACTAAACAGTTCACAGACATGATACTGGTAGGTCATGTCACTAAACAGTTCACCGACATGATACAGGTAGGTCATGTCACTAAACAGTTCACAGACATGATACAGGTAGGTCATGTCACTAAACAGTTCACAGACATGATACAGGTAAGTCATGTCACTAAACAGTTCACAGACATGATACAGGTAGGTCATGTCACTAAACAGTTCACTGACATGATACAGGTAGGTCACGGATGTCTATACCAGGAGCCAGCCATTGATATTCTAGGGGATGGCCAGGGATGTTTTAGCCAATCTCATTAAAATTCAGATCTTAGTTCTTGCTATTGCTAAACAAAGATCTGAGGACATCCCATTACGGGTCACGTCAGACCAACCTTGCGCGAACTTTGACCCACCAATGGAATGACCAATCAGAAGGCAGCTTTCTCGTGCTTTACGGCACAAATTTCAAATTGGCGACTACGCTTCCAAACATATTTTGACAAATTCTCGATTACAAATTTGAAACCTGAACAAAAAACATTCTGGAATGGCTAATAGATGGTCTAGATTGTAAGGATTCAGTCGTTAAACCCATAACTATCGTTCGGAATACTCCATGTTAAAGTTTTCGACATTGCATGATTAGAAATCACATTCCGACTGTCACTTTCATAATCTGGTAAGCGACGCACTGATTGGTCGGATGAAAGGTCGTTCTGACGTGATCCTAAATGGGATGTCTTCAGATCTTTGCTTAGCGGTAGCGAGAACTATGGTCTGATTTTAATGAGATTGTGTTTTAGCAAAAATAATCTGGCTTGAACATGTTGAGGCTTTGAGCATTGTTGAGTGAAATCGGTCCGATAAACAATCTTCCAGATAGGCGAATTATAGGCACAGATATGTAAGGTCTCTCAACACTAGTTGTCCAGAAGGTAGGGTTTCTGGATTAACAGTGTCTGGGCTAACACGTTTTACTGAAAATGATGATCTTTTAGTTGTGTGCTGTGACAAGTGAGTCACTTTACCTAGTTAAAGCAGTAACCGCTGAGTAAAGAGATTCTTGTAGAATCAATGTCTTGAGCTGGTTCGACAGATGTCACTTTTTTTCGTTGCAGTCCCAGATATGCAGTGCTGTGCCGGGGAAGATGACACTGGTGATCCTATTCTGGCTCAAGGCACTCATGAAAGTTCCCCGATGGTCAACTGATAGGTAGGGGGGATAACTCCTGGGGGGAATCTGTGGCAGAGTATGTCCCGAGTTCCCCATACGTGACATGAGTGAGAGGTTTATACCGCTTTTAGCAATATTCCAGCAATATCACTGCGGGGGACACCCGAAATGGGCTTCACACATTGTACCAATTTCGGCAATCGAACCCGGGTCTTGGACATGACAAACTAAGGCTTTTACCACTAGGCTACCCAACCGTTCCCTGATGCATGACGGAAGAGATGATAAAATATAGTGTTATGATTTGTGATGTACTTGACTGTGACCATAGCATGGATCATTGTCCATGTTGTCAATGGCTACTGGACTTGAATATGTATGGCTTCATATTCCCGAGGCAAGAGAGTTAACTGACTATAAAAGTCCTGTTTCCACCCTTGCCGAACTAGGCTGGTATTATGGAGTTACATTTTGGCTGGACTAACCAAATTCAAATTCGTGCACCGAAATTGAAATCCGGTTCGGAAACTGTCGTGCAGATTTCGGTTGATTGCAGGATTTGCAAAGCATGTGCACCGCCAACTCGTTGTCAGCAGATATTTTCCAAATCTTTTCATGTTTTTAATTAAGGTGCTCACGTGATTTGATGCATTTCGCGATGTAAGACCCGATTTATTACAAGATAGATCTTGATTATCGATCAGATCGTTTTGACTGGGCGCCACCATTTTGTGTGAAGCAAATGCAAGTGATACGAGAGGTGGAATCTGATTGGTCCATAGGAGAGGCTTAGAAGGGACATAACTGGTAATAACCACTGGTGGCGCTACGATCGAGCCCAGGAATTCCAGCCTAGTTCGGCAAGGGTGGAAACTGGACTTTTAAAGTCAGTTAACTCTCTTGCCTTGGGAAGATGGTATTGCTTATGGCTGTTGTAATTGTATCTCCGTGCTGCTTCCTACACAGAGCTGTGGTCTGTCCCAAAGTGTTTTCCAAACAGATTCCTGGTCAGGGATATACCACACTAACTACCCTGCTATAATGTACCAAAATTGTTATTACCACATAAATTAATAGTGATATCGGAAACTGAATAGGGGCGGTTGGGTAGCCTAGTGGTTAAAGCGTTCGCTCGTCACACCGTAGACCCGGGTTCGATTCATGACATGGGTACAATGTGTTAAGCCCATTTCTGGTGTCCCCCGCCATGATATTGCTGGAATATTGCTAAAAGCGGCGTCAAACCATAATCGCTCACTCAGTGTAACTGATTTAAAGTTCCTTCAAAATGAACTAAATGAACTGAATGTACTTTTGATTCCATGTTGATAAGATTTCTGCATGCATCAGAGTAAATTGTTTCCTTAAACCATAAGACCACCTCCGTGGTCTAGTGGTAGAGCGTCCGCCCAGAGAGCGGAAGTTCCGGGGTTTGATCCCCAACCGCGTCATACCAAAAGACGTTAAAAGATGGTACCCTGTTGTTACCCTGTCTGGCGCTCGGCATTAAGGGGCTACAAGGACTGGTCAGCTCGGAGTCAGTATACTGTGTCTGAGTGGGGTATTCATGTTAAACTGCAGCATGGTATCTCAGTGGGCTAGCACTATAAATCGGCATCAGTTCGGACTAGTACAAGCAGCCACACAAACACACACACGTACATGCACGTCGCTATATAAGTGCAATAATCTTGAACGCGACGTTTAACCGCATTTCACCTCACCTTCCTTAAACCAAATTATTGAAAGTGTAAGACAGGAAGTGTTTTATTACTACTTTGTTTCAACAAATTTTGCAATGTATCTGTGTTCATTAACTGTTGTAATTCAGACAAAATAGAGACAATTTATGGATCTTTAATATGCTGTTACAGTGATGTTTGGGTGTAGATGTTATACTGCTGTCGAGGAAGGACTTTAGAAATTGCCCCTCACACAATAAATGTGATTCACATAAACATGATCAAGCATGAACATTTAGTGAACTATGTCCAGTCAAGTCTTGTTAATCCGACACTAATGATGGGAACCGATTAAATCAGTGTTGTTTAGACCCGTTAATCCGACTGTATCGCACTCCGAATCCGACACACCTAATTTGCAATGAATTACCAAAATCACTCATTAATCAGTCTTGTTAATCTGACAGTGATCAGCGTACTCTGTGGTTATCTGCCTCGAGTACACAGACCCGTGTTTTGATGCGAGACGAGTTAGCTGGTAGCTGCATATTACAACGGCTGCAGAGATAAACTTGCTTAACAATAAACAATTAAATAAAGAAAACAGGATTAATCACATGCTCAGATTTTGTCAATCTCATTAAAATCAGATACAAGTTCTTGCTACCACTGAGGTCATCCCTTTCACGAACTTTTGACCGACCTATGAAATTACAAAAAGGAAGTCGACCCTAGCCACTAAGAAAGCAGCTTTCTTGATACTACTTAATTTCGTTTATCTGACGTTCTCGTTAATCCGACATAATAATATGCAATCAACCATGTCGGATAAACTGGACTCGACTTATATGGTATATATTTCATCAACTCAGAAAGAATGGAACACATGACTTTCTTTGCCTGGACTAAACTAACTAACTGAGGCTGGGTGTATGGCTGTGAAGGGGAGGAATGGAACTCTATTTTGACCAAATGTCACTAAAGTTTGTGTGTGGCATTTACTGACAATGGATGTGTTTCAGGAACTGCTGCTACGTGGTGGACTCTCTGGTGGAGAGGGCATTCACCGTCCTGGGTGCAATTGATGAAATGAAGCTGGTTTTTACACAAGCGTTTAAGGTGAGAAATGACTGGCAATATGAGCACTCGGTGTACAAGTGTGTTGTGAAGTAAAGCCTCATCTCTCCATGTCATGGTAGTTCTTGGATGGGTACTTGATTATCTGGAGAGATCTGTGTTTAGATGCTACCTGGCTCTTTGTACATCAATATTATGTTTCCATCAACATTTGTCTTGAATGGTTTCAAAAATATGTTTATTTATCTCTGTTTCTTATTTTACAACAGATTTATTCTTTATTGTCCCCTGAAACCTGGTTGTCAGAGGAGACTTGATTGATCTGGTGGTGAGGCGGGGGCATGGGTGGCCCAGTCGTCTAAGGCGCCGCGATTCGCTGTGCAGAGTTGCGGGCCAGAAACCTATGATTGTGGGTTCGAATCCAGGTTTGCCCCGATTATGTTTCTAGGTTTGTCAGCACCATACCCGTGCAAGTGGGTTTCACTGAACTGGTAAACATCCGAGACCTGCATCACTTCGGGCTTTCCTCCCACATTAAGCTGACACGCCGCAATATAACTGGAATACTGTTTAAGGTGGCGTTTAACCAAACTCACTCATTCACTGGTGGTGAGGCCTGGTGACCTGGTTGGTTGTGTATCATCATAGGAGTGGATCATTGCTCATGATATCAATCACTGGATTGTCTGGGCCCGACTCGAATATTTACCGGATGGTGTCACATACCTGAAATATTGCTGAGTGCTGGGTTAAAAAACAAACAAAATAATGACACATTATTTCTCTGTTATTGCAGGACATTCGTAAAAGCGACCAGAACCAAGGTTTGGTGACGTCTGTTGTCAGTTGGATTGCATCTGGTGTGTCGTTGCCTTCACTGATGGAACGGAACTCCTTCCCAGAATTCACCTGGCTGGCCTCCATGATCCTGGTGGTCGAGGCCGACTATGAGGCGGACACGAAGATGTGGCTGTCTCTCGTACAGGAGATGTACGCGGACACCAAGCTGTCTCCTGATCAAGCTCACAGGGTACGATATGGATGTTCTGAATCATCAGTGACCGCCTCCGTAGTCTTGTGGTAGAGCGTCCGCCCGGAGAGCGGAAGGTCCGGGGTTCGATCCCCAGCCGCGTCATACCAAAAGACGATAAAAGGTGGTACTTGTTGTTACCCTGTCTGGCGTTCGGCATTAAGGGGCTAAAACAAGGACTGGTCAGCTCGGAGTCAGTATACTGTGTCTGAGTGGTGTATTCATGTTAAACTGCGGCATGGTATCTCAGTGAGCTAGCACTATAAATCGGCATCAGTCCGGACGAGTACAAGCAGCCACACACACACATACACGTGCATGCACGTCGCTATAAAAGTGCAATAATCTTGGACGCGACGTTAAACCCCATTTCACCTCACCTGAATCATCAGTCATCAATTTATTTATTTTATTTTTTTTCTCACTTTCTTGAAACTATTCTAGAGGTATTATGTTTGTAGGTTTTTTACTGATATGCTTGTTTTAGACAGGCTGTCATTTCATACCTTAAACTAGGGCTGGGACGAGTCCAAATTTACTACCCAGGTACCCCCTCCTCTATTACCTGACCCTATCTGGGTACCCACTATAGGTCTGAAGAGATACAAAATGTTCGATTGGTAATTGTTTTTACCACAGCAGTTGCAAAACGTATTAAGATACATGTATTAAACGATCTGGTCATGCATACACTGAAGTTGACTTAAGTTAGATCTTTATTCAACCATATGAAAAGTCAGAAGGAATGGGTGCATAGTCAGAAAGAAATGCGAACATTAGTGACTTGTAGTGTAACCATAGAGTTCTAGACAATTTTTGTCATTAAACTATATATCACGTGACTAACCACGGGTCCGGGTAGTCCTGTGTGTACCCGGGTCCATGCTGATTATCATGATGATTCATACAGAGATTCATAAGTATTCGATTAGTTTGGATTTTCCTGTTTCATATTGTTTGAGAACAGTTTAAAAAAGCTGCGAATTATAAGCGTCAGTGCCTTTCTTTCCAGCGTGTGGTCCCCAAACTGAAGTTAGAACAAGCTCCAGTTTTTGCACGTCTCAACATTTACCGCTGGGCACAGCAAGCTCTTGATACTCCAGTGTCCCATCCGTTCCTCCCTGTCGTGTGGCAGAGGTTCTTCCTGCTCTACCTGGGCAGACAGGTGTTCGATTCCAGGTATGTCACATTAACATCCCCATAGAGACATGGTGTCCCATCCTTTCAAGTTTGATTCCATAAACCTGAAATGCAAAGGTGTTGTCATTTTATGACAGGAGGAATGTCCTGTTTACCAATGTAATAGTTTGGAATATTGAAACTTGAAACACAATTTTCACCCTGGAATTACTGTTAGTAAAAGTCTTGGTTGTTGTGTAAACTTAACATTATGTATTGGAGAAAACTCGCTTACGAGGTTTTGGTAGACAGAGCATGCCCTGGGGAGAGGGAAAAACCAAGGGGGCGAACCCCCGCAGTTTTTCCCGACCCCCAGGGCATGCTCTGTCTACCAAAACCGAGGGAAAGTGTTTTTCCATACTTATAAACCGAAAAAAGAAACTTAAAACAACATTTATCAACATTTTTATGTTTCGAACATACTTTCCATGAACCTTAGGAAACGCGTGTAAAATATCTGTTGCTGGCGTATGGATCTTGAAAAGGACATTCTAAAAACCAGTGTGGCTTATCAACACCTCTGTAGCCTCGTGGTACACTCACTGGGCTACAGATATGAAGGTTGCGAGTTCGATCCTCGGAAATATAAAGAAAACATTTGTCATTTGATTTTACATTTCATTACATGTTACAATCCGAACGGAAGTTACATTAATAAAATACCAAGGACATTATATAAATTCCCTGAGATATTATAGCAAATATGACTTGAATATCCTATAAAATCCCTGGCATATTATATAAAATCCCAGGTATATTATATAATATGCCAGGTACATTACAATGTCCCTGTTTTAATGGGTTTAATAGGTTTTAATGCCTATAGAAAGAAGTCTCTTACTTAATAGCGATCCCTATGAATAGGGTTGTATGAAAATAAATGAATTTCAAGTGATTCCAAGGTTGATGGCTAACCTGCCCTTTTTTCTGTGTTTTGTTTTTCCATAGACTTAACACTAATTACCATATATCGCTGTCTATAAAGCAACCCCACATATGAGGCAAACCCCCTGTACAAGCCTTCAAAATCGATGCTAATTTATATAATTTGTGTGCCCCCGGTAATGTCTTTGTGTTGGGGGTAAAACTTGCCTTATACACACCCTTTATGGTAGGCCACCCCCATTAACGGACTGCTGTTTCCTGACTGGCTGATAATAAAATGGGTGGGACTTGTGTTGCAGTATAACACTGAACAATGCCACTGATTTTATTTTGTTGTCTACAGTTGTTTTTCTATTAATAAATAAATAAGCAGTTTGTGAATTTACAAAGTATGCACATCGGTTTTTACTTTTATACCTCCATAAACGCAAAATGTTTGGAAGTTAGTTCTTAAATATATTTGACTCAATATTCAATTTAGCATTCTGTAACATGTTTCCAGGGCTCTTCAAGAATGTATCAGTCATATAGTAAGTACCGTATTCGACGTAATAAGCGCCCCGCTCTAATAAGCGCCCACGGTGATATTTGCTAATATATTGGCTAGTGAACAATCCCAATTAGCACCCCTTCCGATAGATCAATGTACACAAGACTTATTTATTGGTGTATAATACGCACTCGTGTGTTATATGCACCCTAAATTATGGGCAATTAAATTCTGGAAAAATATATCTATCGTATATAAACATTTCAGCATAAACCACGAAATTTATCCTTTAACTTGTTTTTTTCACCAAAATAATATTCTAATAAGAGCCCCCTATTTCTAATTTTGAGAGCGCCGTGGGCGCTTATGACATCGAATACGGTATTCATTTGAATTCATGGACGTTTATGTTAAATACAGTTAAGTTAATGGATCCTTTTCCTCCCTGTTAGTCTACCTCAGAGGGCCAGTGTAGGGGAGAGGTTCTTTGACAGCATGAGCTACTCTTCCATGTTGAAGAGGATGAAGAAGAGGCTGGGTGAGGCTGCAGATTACCATATGTATTCACACACCAAGAAGGACAAGGGAAACAACACAGAGGACACAAGTGGCTCTGACGAGGAGACGCCGGAGAGACAGCCGGGATACAGCAGTTCCAAGGAGTTTCACCAGAAGCTGGCCAGGTAGGTGCTTGTTGGTTGTGTCAAGCAGGTGCTTGTTGGTTGTGTCAGGTAGAGTGGGAGTGAAGCTGGCCAGGTAGGTGCTTGTTGGTTGTGTCAAGCAGGTGCTTGTTGGTTGTGTCAGGTAGAGTGGGAGTGAAGCTGGCCAGGTAGGTGCATTGGTTGTGTCAGGTAGGTGCTTGTTGATTGTGTCAAGCAGGTGCTTGTTGATTGTGTCAGGTAGAGGGGAGTGAAGCTGGCCAGGCAGGTGCTTGTTGGTTGTGTCAGGTAGAGTGGGAGTGAAGCTGGCCAGGTAGGTGCTTGTTGGTTGTGTCAGGTAGGTGCTTGTTGATTGTGTCAAGCACGTGCTTGTTGATTGTGTCAGGTAGAGGGGAGTGAAGCTGGTCAGGTGGCTGCTTGTTGGTTGTGTCAGGTAGAGTGGGAGTGAAGCTGGCCAGGTATGTGCTTGTTGGTTGTGTCAGGTAGGTGCTTGTTGATTGTGTCAAGCACGTGCTTGTTGATTGTGTCAGGTAGAGGGGAGTGAAGCTGGTCAGGTGGCTGCTTGTTGGTTGTCAGGTAGGGGGGAAGTTAAGCTGGTCAGGTGGCTGCTTGTTGGTTGTGTCAGGTAGAGGGGAGTGAAGCTGGTCAGGTGGGTGCTTGTTGGTTGTGTCGGGTAGAGGGGAGTGAAGCCGGCCAGGTAGGTGCTTGTTGGTTGTGTCAGGTAGAGGGGAGTGAAGCTGGCCAGGCAGGTGCTTGTTGGTTGTGTCAGGTAGAGGGGGAGTGAAGCTGGCCAGGTAAGTGCTTGTTGGTTGTGTCAGGTAGAGGGGAGAGTGAAGCTGGCCAGGTAGTTGCTTGCTGGTTATGTCAGGTAGAGGGGAGAGTGAAGCTGGCCAGGTAGTTGCTTGCTGGTTATGTCAGGTAGAGGGGAGAGTGAAGCTGGCCAGGTAGGTGCTTGCTGGTTGTATCAGGTAGAGGAGTGGTAGGTGCTTGTTGGTTGTGTCAGGTAGAGGAGTGGTAGGTGCTTGTTGGTTGTGTCAGGTAGAGGAGTGGTAGGCGCTTGTTGGTTGTGTCAGGTAGAGGAGTGGTAGGTGCTTGTTGGTTGTGTCAGGTAGAGGAGTGGTAGGTGCTTGTTGGTTGTGTCAGGTAGAGGAGTGGTAGGTGCTTGTGTGTTGTGTCAGGTAGAGGGGGAATGAAACTGGCCAGGTAGGTGCTTGTTGGTTGTATCAGGTAGAGGAGTGGTAGGTGCTTGTTGGTTGTGTCAGGTAGAGGAGTGGTAGGTGCTTGTTGGTTGTGTCGGGTAGAGGAGTGGTAGGTGCTTGTTGGTTGTGTCAGGTAGAGGGGGAATGAAACTGGTTGTGGTTCTATGCTGTGTGTCTCTCTGCAGGATGTACAACACATTTGCCCTGTGGCTTGATGAACCTCGTCTCCATGACGCCAACCTCTACCTCCCATCCCTCCCGGCCCAGTACGACTCAGCTCGCCTCCTGCAAGTCTTTCAGAATCAAATGGTAAGACGTTTCACCAGTTTTCAACCTGTGGCTTCGAGCTTTTGGCGTGGTTTGGTAGCCTTTGCTCATCAAGCTGAAGGTGCAGATTCCCCTTTTGGGTAAGTGGTATGCTCATTTCTGGTGTATAACTAAACAATTATTTATGAGGAATAATTAAATATTAAATATATACATTTTGACTTTCATGACTGACAGGAATGATGACATCTTCCCCAGGCAAGGGAGTTAACTGACTTTAAAAATCCAGTTTCCACCCTTGCTGAACTCGGCTAGAATTTCTGTGTACGATTGTAGCGCTACCAGTGACGATTACGAGTTATGTCCCTTCCACGAACCTCCTATTGACCTGTCAGATTCCACCTCTCATATCACTTGCATTTGCTTCAAACAAAATGGCGGCGCCCAGTCAAGACTATCTGATCGATAATCAAAACTATATTGTAATAAAACGGGTCATACGTCGCGAAGTGCATTAATGCTTTTCAGCACCTTGACGAAACTCATGAAAAGATTTGGAAAACATCTGATGCTGAGTTGGCGGTACACAAGCTTTGCAAATCCTGCAATCGACAGAAAACAGCATGGCACCGGATGTCAATTTGGCTTTGCGATTTTGATTGGACACTGCATAAACTCGTACTACAGCCATAATATAACTCCTTTGTTCCAGCTTTGTTCGGCAAGGGTGGTAACTGAACTTTCATAGTCAGTGGCCCTTGCCTCGGGAAGATGGAATGTGACTACAGGTCTACTGGCTGTATGATAATGCTCAGGCAGCTAGTGTATGGGACTTATCTGTGACATCTTTGCAGGTGCCATGGCTGGAGTTTGTGGATCTGGATTCTGTCCGGCACCAGCTGGCGAAATCCGCCGAAGACTGGAATAAACTGGTGAATTCCGCATCCTCCGATGATGTGAGAAACACGATGCTCAACCCAGAGCTGGATCCCCTCAAAGGTTAGTTAGTTAGAAACATACACAGTGGTAAACATTCTGTGGCTGGGATATAATATGTGTCTTCCACAGGCCGAAAAACAGGTTGTCATAAAAAAGAGAGCTGCTTTGTATACCATTTGTATCTTCTAGTTTGTACATGCAATCGGTAAGGATGATGATGGAGGCAGTAGTCATGGAGAAGATCCTTCATCATTTGATGACAGGATTAGTCTTTAGCAGGTTGTGTTGTGTCCCTTTAAGTCTCCTCTGTCAACGTTAGATTACATGACCAACTGGTAAAAGCCCACAGTTTGTAAAATTATAGATGTTCCGTTGACTGAAGAAAACCACTATCTATACAGTACTGTTTGAGAGAAAGTCATATTTCATGATTTCCCAGTGGTAGGATTTTCCAGGTTAGAATAGGTCCCCACTTGTCATATGAGATAACTTGGCTGATTCCATGTCATTGTACAACAATGGTGTTAGACATGGCGTTAGACATGGCGTTAGACAGTGTTAAGACTCCCTTAGGAGTTACTGTTAGAATTAGCATTTAGTTTCTTTCATTTGAGGTTTATTCATCTTTCCTTCACATAATAACAGGTAATCACGTTTAGTTCCTTATAGATCTTCATAGTTTTATAATAGGTTATCACGTTTAGTTCCTTGATTCATTCAAAAAAGGTATGTCAAACAAATTTAAGATTAGTTTTCATTTAAGGTAAACCACGCTCAAATATTCAGTTCCACTGCGCAACACTTGTGTTAATGTCGTACACACCAGCATCATATGCCTTAATGTGCATCTGTACCTGACAGCTGCAGACCGGATCTTGGTGCGTCTCCGTCACTACGACCCCCCTGTGTCCCCCCCGCCACTGTGCACCCTGAAGGCGCCGGTGCCAGACATCAGCACAGCCATCTTGGTGGAGAAACACTCCCTCATACACCTCCTTGATGCTGATCTCAACACGCTCCGGGACTACACAAGGTAACATAGTTCACCCTGTTGGGCTACTCTATAGGTCCACAGCATCCCATGCTAACTGTTTACTGGTTGAGAAACACTCCCTCATACACCTCCTTGATGCTGATCTCAACACGCTCCGGGACTACACAAGGTAACATAGATCACCCTGTTGGGCTCCTCCATAGGTCCACAGCATCCCATGCTAACTGTTTACTGGTTGTCATGATATGGCGTTAATAATGCTGACAGACAAGCAAGAATATTCTTTCAGATGACAGTAATAATAGCACATTTGTACGCTTGTCGTAAGAGGCGACTAACGGGGTCGGGTGGTCAGGCTTGCTGACTTGGTTAATCCGTGTCATCGTATTCTAATTGTGTGGATCGATGCTCATGATGTCAATCACTGGATTGTCTGGTCCAGGCAGTCACATTGCCATCTCATCCTACCGAGTACCCTTTCACTGCTGGGTGAACAGGCACACTCATTATGGCAGTTTGTAACTTTACCATGATTTCTGCTAGAGACAATATGACACATTCCTAACTAACTTACTCTCTATACTGACTTTTCTTGATTTTTAGACCCGTGAAGATTCCGGGGTAGAATGGGTCTTCAGCAACCCATACTTGCCGTAAAAGGTGACTATGCTTGTCGTAAAAGGCGACTAACGAGATCGGGTGGTCAGGCTTGCTGACTTGGTTGATACATGTCATCTATCCCAATTGCGTGGATCGATGCTCATGACATTATCACTGGATTGTCTGGTCCAGACTCGATTATTTACAGACCGCCATCATATAGCTGGAATATTGCTGAGTGCGGCGTCAAACAACAAACCAACCAACCAACGACTTGGTTGATACATGTCATCGATCCCAATTGGATTGTCTGGTCCAGACTCGATTATTTTACAGACCGCCGTCATATATCTGATTATATAATCTTGATTTTTTTATGGTTGATAACTGTTTATGGTTCTAGTTTTCATTGTTTATGTAATTGACATTTATTTATTTGAAGGGTGTTTTCAACTCGAGTGGCCCAGCACTGTGCTGTAGATGGAATCTACCTTGACCTGTTACCTGTGTTGTACTCAAATGAACTAAACCAGGTGAGAACTGTCATCACAAGCTGGTCCTAGTGAACAAGTCCCTAGGACAAGTATACTTGTTTAGACCCAGACCGAAAGCCCACTTTACAACAGTTTGTTATTATCCCCCGCCCAACGAAGCGGAGCATAACTCATAAACCGTTCAATATTTTTTCATCAAACTTTGCAGGTCTGTCAAGTACATGCTGAGCTGGTGTCTTTTGATATTTAGAAATTTTCGAAAGTTTTATTTTTTACGTTTCCATGGCAACAAGATGGACTTAGGTTCTGTGAGGGTAGGGCTCGTTTCCGGAGCATAACTCAAAAAACGTTCAATATTTTTTCATCAAACTTTGCAGGTTTGTCAGGTACATAATGAAATGGTGCCTTTTGCTATTTAGAAATTTTAGAATTTTTTTTTTTTTACGTTTCCATGGCAACAAGATGGACTTAGGTTCCAAACTCTTCTTTTTTAAAAATTTCCATGACAAGTTCCACCTCAGTTAAAAAAGGTTAGGTTTGTTTAGATTTAATTATGTCATAAATTAAGCAACAGGGGTGGGGGATATAGCCACGTTAGTGGCAAACTCTTGTTTGTTCTCCAACAAAGGTACAATTGTTGCCCTTATTGCTAAAATAGAGCTGAAAGTGTCACAATACCTCTCTCCAGGATTATGTCCCCAGATCACTTTTCTCGTCCTTAAGAGCTTGGATTCTGCTGTAGAATTTTCCCCAGCAACACCTTTGTAAAACGCAACAAAATGGATTGGGTGGTCAAATTTGGTGACTTTGGGGTGGTGGGGTAGCAAAGTGGTTATGGCGATTGCTCGTCACGCCAAAGCCCCGGGTTCCATTCCCCACATTGGTCCAGTTTGTGAAGCCCATTTCTAGTGTCCCCCATCGTGATGTTGCTGGAATATTGCAAAAAGCGGCATAAAACCACACTCACGCAATGGTGACTTGGTTGATTGCTTATTGTACACGGCAGTGTATGACAGTACTCGTGGGTGGTCGGGTAGCCTAGTGGTTAAAGCGTTCACTCATCACGCCGAAGACCCGGGTTCGTTTCCCGACATGGGTACAATGTGTGAAGCCCATTTCTGGTGTCCCCCGCCGTGATATTGCTGGAATATTGCTAAAAGCGGCGTAAAACCGTACTCACTCACTCACTCACATTACTCGTATTATCAATCACTGGTTTGTGCAGTACTGAGCAAGAAACGAACAATGGGGTAAAATGGGAATCAGGTGGTCACAGCGGTAGAGACTAACATTTGTAGTCCACTAGTCCTCATAATGATGACATATAGCAAACCCCTTCAACATGGCAAATTTCAACAAGTCCCTGTGCTATCCTTGTTAAACTGTGGCAGCATGGTATCTCAGTGAGCTAACATTATATTTAGGGCAGTTTGGCAGGGACTATAGGACTAGTGTGAATTTCTATCGCTGTGGTCACAATGTGTGATGGATCGTGTGACGTCATACACCGATGGATCCTTACTTCCATAGTTACAGACTGCTTTGAGTAGCGAAGTCTCTCACCTTTAGTTTGAAAGATATCATTGAAAAGATGTTTGTGACAAAAGAAAACATTCCAGTTCAAGACAAAGTTGACACTTCTCTTCCTCAGGTGACCTTGACCATTGAATGTAAGAGCAAGGTGAACCCGCTGCACAGGTGCACTAACCCAGCTGTGGCAACAGTTCAGGTAAGTCGGAGAGCGGAAGGCCGGTGGTTCTATCCCTGGGTGCATCATACCAAAAGAGGGGCGGTCGGGTAGCCTAGTGGTTAAGGCGTTTGCTCGTCACACCTAAGACCTGGGTTTGATTCACGACATGGGTACAATGTGTGAAGCCCATTTGTGGTGTCCCCGCCGTGATATTGCTGGAATATTACTAAAAGTGGGGTAAAATCAAACTCACTCACTCACTCACTCACTCACTCACTCACTCCAAGAGATTGTACATAACAACAACAGCAACAACAATAATAATAATTACATTTGTTATGGGCTTAACTCAATACACAGCGCTACATAAAATTGGAAAAGAATTCTGCTGATACAAGGTCATGGATACGAGACAAAGAGACACATGGTGTGGATTTTAGATTTCATAAAAGAGTCATGGAGAGGGTTCCATAGGGTATTGCTGAGTGAGGCATTCAACAACAAACAAACAAACTTAACACTTTATGTTTTTTCTGTGCAGGTGAATGAGAAGACCATTAACAAAAGTGTCCAGCGTAAGATGGACGAGAATCGGGCGGAGTACAAGCAGGTGATGATCGAGTGTCTCCTGCCCCCACCCCCGAGTGTCTGCACGGCAGCTGTACATGTGGAGAACGCAATCACGTCAGTAACCTATATCTCCCTGTCTCACACCTCAGATTTGACCGCCTCCGTGGTCTTGTGGTAGAGCGTCCGCCCGGAGAGCAGAAGGTCCAGGGTTCGATCCCGGGCCGCGTCATACAAAAAGACGTTAAAAGATTGTACTTGTTGTTACCCTGTCTGGCGCTCGGCATTAAGGGGCTAAAACAAGGACTGGTCGGCTCGGAGTCAGTATACTGTGTCTGAGTGGGGTATTCATGTTAAACTGCGGCATGGTATCTCAGTGAGCTAGCACTATAAATCGGCTTCAGTCCGGCCTAGTACAAGCAGCCACACACACACATACACGTGCATGCACGTCGCTATATAAGTGCAATAATCTTGGACGCGACGTTAAACCCAATTTCACCTCACCACACCTCAGACTTAGAATCAGGCTCTGCTGTCCTTCTTTATGTATGTCCCACAGTTATTGGTTAATTTTCTCAAGAATTTGTTTAAGTCATGGGAAGCATTTGACCATTTTGCTGTTCTTTGGCAAGGTATCTCAATAAATATATGTTATTCTGTCCTGTTTATGGCAAGGGACTGAGCCACCTTGGAGGCAAAAACCTGTATCCCCAACTATCACTAGCTGTAAATCATTAGAAATACATGTTCAAACTCCAATTACCGTTAACCAAAGGTTCCATGATCTGCAGTTTTCAATTAGCTAGAATTCCAGCTAGTAAAATTTTGTTTTGTAAGATATTTGTATGGCATGACTCATGTTTAATGGTTTCTCCAAAGAGATAATTTATGTCTACGACCTGCAGCATTCTTGTCTTTCCTCCAAAATTTAATTCTGACATTCCGTGACAGGACAGATATGGTGTTCAAAGCAGCATAAGGACCAACTCACTCTAAAATTTCATTGATGTTTTGTCCTGATCGGCAAGATATTTGTGTTATGGTGGCAAGCACGAAGAATTGATTTTAATAAGATTTCAGTTTTTGCTGACATTACTGCAGGCTTGGGTTGACCTCTGAGCAAGTCTCCTCTATTGTAAGTGAGAACAAACATCCTCCTGAAGCAAGGGAATTAACTGACTACGAGAGTCCAGTTTCCACCCTTTCCAAACAAGGCTACAAAATTTGGTAAATTGCAGGATTTGCAAAGCATGTGTGCCCATAGAGCCCCAAAATTCCAGCCTAGTTCGGCAAGGGTGTAAACTGGACTTTGACCGTCAGTTAACTCCCTTGCCTCGGGAAGATGCCATTACATGATGATACAACACTTTAAAGTGACTCTACGTTATCTGTCCCCAGGATGCTGATCAAGCTGTCTCAGTCATCGACAGATGAGAGCCAACTCGCCACCCTGTTTGACATTGCCAACACTTTGTTCTACCACCTGGCCACCATGATCAACGAGGACACCAACTTCTACCTCCCTACCAAGCAGTTCTTCTCCTCGTGCCTCGAGATACTTGGCCAGGTAGGGGCCACCATTTGATATTTGATAAACCTGGGATGGTTTTGAAACAGATAGTCCATTCCCGTAAATGCTTGAAAAAATAGTTGTCCTGATCTTTTGCAAAATGGAATTAATTGTTTACTGTGAGTCCACAAAACTTGTTTGGCTCATTCTTTTAGTGATAAAAATTATGTTGAATTTTATTTTGAATATTTTATTTTAAATATTTCCTACTACCACCAAGATCTGCACCAGAGGTGGCTCCACTCAGGCTCATGCCCCAAGCTTTGAGGTTCACCCAGGTCAAAATATAATCTGTCTGAAATGAAAAAATTTGGCTGTTGCTGTTATTAATTATTATTGTTTTATTTTATTAATTTGTATAGTGCAGGGGCGGTTTGGTAGCCTAGTGGTTTAAGCGTTCGCTCGTCACGCCGAAGACCCGGGTTGATTCACGACATGGGTACAATGTGTGAAGCCCATTTTTGGTGTCCCCTGCCGTGATATTGCTGGAATATTGCTAAAAGCGGCGTAAAACCATACTCACTCACTTGTATAGTGCACTTTCCAATTTATAACTGCTCAAATGCACTTAGACCATGACATATGTAAGATGTATTGTAACGCCACTCTAGTTTCATGATGCTCTTTTGTATCCATTCATTGCTGCTGTTGTAGTTCTCTCCTGTAGGGACTAAGCTGGGTCAGGTTTAGGGTGATACGCTTTTCTGTACATACCATTCAGGGATTTAGCTGCAAGTGAAACATATTATTGAAAATGCAACCTAATATATATATGTCTTCATGCACCAAATGCAAGATTTCAAATTTGTGCCTTGACTAACCCTTGATTGTCCTCACAACATCATTCTTTGAACACAATCAATAAGGTTTATTTACCATACTACATCACCAGTCCATGTGTCATGTGTAATTTGACATGCTGTCTTGGGCATGACGTCATCAATCTGTGGGTACTCAATGCCATGTGCTGTACGTTGATCTATCACTGAAGTTGACCACTGTATCATGTTATGATATTTGGAACTGATGGTAATCATTATGTATTATATGATGATTGCCATTGATGACATTGCCACATAAGTACTGTAACAGTACGTACAAACTGATTTAAAAATCATAATGCAGTCATCAGAGAACTGAGATTTTATTTATTTAGGGCACCGGTTTTGTCTGGTGCAACTAGGTTTTTCTTGTCAACATGCACCTGGTGCAACTAGGTTTTCATGTCAACATGCACCTGGTGCAACTAAGTTTTCATGTCCAGATGCTCCTGGTGCAACTAGGTTTTCATGTCCAGATGCACCTGGAGCAACTAGGTTTTCATGTCCAGATGCTCCTGGTGCAACTAGGTGTTCATGTCCAGATGCTCCTGGTGCAACTAGGTTTTCATGTCAACATACACCGATGCAACTAGGTTTTCATGTCAACATGCACCTGGAGCAACTAGGTTTTCATGTCAACATGCACCTGGAGCAACTAGGTTTTCATGTCAACATGCACCTGGCGCAACTAGGTTTTCGTGTCCACATGCACCTGGCGTAACTAGGTTTTCATGTCAAGATGCACCTGGCTCAACTAGGTTTTCATGTCAACATGCACCTGGCGTAACTAGGTTTTCATGTCAAGATGCTCTTGGTGTAAAAAATAATATAATTGGTTCTCAGGCAGTGGTTTTTTAAAATATAGTGCAGGCAGGCTGTGGATTGTGTTTTTTTTGTTTTCGGTTCGGTTTTTTTTCAAACTAGTATGTAACCAAACAGACAGTTGTGTAACCAAATAAACAGGTGTGTACAATCAACCTGGGAAAAGGCCTCCCTACATAAATGTATTCCATGGTGAGTAAAATACTGGAATACAATATTTGACTACCGTTGGACTTGGAATATTTAAGGATTTTATTGGTTATTTTTTTAACATGGAAATAAAAGCGAAACGTGCCGCAGTGCCTGAGAAACAAGCCTATTTTTTTTTAGCCTGAAATCAAGTTCCTTAAATGAAGCCCTGTCATTTGATGTGGTGTTTCAGGAATTCTTGTCCCGAGACTCCAGCCAGACTCAGCTCCTGCTTCAGTTCTGTCTGGACAACCCCAACCTCTCCTGCCACGTGTCGCAGCACTTCATCCCCAACAACAGCCCGGAGACGTACGTGCTGATGTACGAGCAACTCATTCACATACTGCAACAGAGAAACATGGACCTGGTCTTTGCTCTACTCACTAAGGTACGACACTGCCACACTACCATATGTAGGTCCGAAACACATGGACCTAAAATCTAGGGTCCATCTTGAACATGAACTCAGTGAAGACCCAGGTTCGATTCCTGATATGGGTACAATGTGTGAGGCCCTTTTTCTGGTATCCTCTTCCGTCATATTGCTAGAATACTGCTAAAAGCAGTGTAAAAGCATAATCACTTGCTCAGGCACACCTCTTTTAAAATTTTACTGTTTCTGTAGATTAATACCACCATCCAAAATATGAAATAAAATTAATTTCCGTAACGAATCAAAGTTACGCGATCAGAGTTATAATACTTGATTCATGATTTGCATTTTTGGTTTACTTTATTTATACCTTCGCAGAATCAAATTTCTGGAAAGATAAACTCTTTCATATTTCAGCTAGTGAAATTTGAAACTGGCGAGTAACTTTGAAGTCCAGTTGACCCACCAGGCCAGCAATATTTTGAGACTGTTTTATGCACAGTTTCAATGTGTATTCTCTGGGGACTGGGCTCTCAAAGGCAAGGATATTGAAACCTGATGTGAGTGAAGGTGAATGTATGGAGCTCTGTGTTTCAGTTCGACGTGTGGACTTGGCTGCAGACCTCCAAACCTCCACAGGGGGACAGGAAGAGGTTTGTGGGTATTTTAGGTTCAGCTCTCATGTCCTGTGGAGCTGAACCAGAGAGGAAGACCAAGCTTGTGTTTGATGTGAGTGTTCTGAGAGGAGACCCGTGAATATCCGGGGTAGAATCAGTCTTCAGCAACCCATGCTTGCAGAAAAAGGCGTCTATGCTTGTCGTAAAAGGCGACTAACGGGATCGGGTGGTCAGGCTCGCTGACTTGGTTGATACATGTCATCGATCCCAATTGTGTGGATCGATGCTCATGATATCAATCACTGGATTGTCTGGTCCAGACTCGATTATTTACAGACCGCCGTCATATAGCTGGAATAATGCTGAGTGCGGCATAAAAACAAACATCAAATACTGCGAGGATCGGTCTTTTATAAACTGAGCCAAAGAAATACCTGTAGCATTAGTGAGTAGAACAAACATAGGACAAACATAGGACATTGAAGGCTTGTACTCCTTGTTTAAAGCAATTGCAATGCAAGTCTTTTCATATTTTGTAAAGGAACAATTATTACATTATCATTTTCGTGTTTATGACTGATGCCTGGCATGGATTATGTTTTGGGAAACAAGAAATAGGCTATTTGTGTTTCAGTTTCATTGAAATGAATTATATTTTTTCAAACTGCTACCAGACCGCCTCCGTGGTCTTGTGGTAGAGCGTCCGCCCGGAGAGCGGAAGGTCCAGGGTTCGATCCAGGGCCGCGTCATACCAAAAGATGTTAAAAGATTGTACTTGTTGTTAAGGGGCTAAAACAAGGACTGGTCGGCTCGGAGTCAGTATACTGTGTCTGAGTGGGGTATTCATGTTAAACTGCGGCATGGTATCTCAGTGAGCTAGCACTATAAATCGGCATCAGTCCGGACTAGTACAAGCAGCCACACACACACATACACGTGCATGCACGTCGCTATATAAGTGCAATAATCTTGGACGCGACGTTAAACCCAATTTCGCCTCACCTCACCTCAAACTGCTACCATTCTGTTTCTAGATCTGATCACGCCTCCACAGATGGAGGATGTATAACATATCCACAAAATATAATCACACACTTTTTGCATCCTGAACTCCCCAATTATTACTGTTTTTGAGATAGAGAAGTCAGATATGTTTGTCTGAATCTTTTCACTCACTCTTATTGGTAGTTTAAAATCCTCAATGCTGATTGGCTGATTAGAAATTTAAACTGACACAACCTTCTATGTGTGACCAATCAGCACTTAATGTTCTATGTGTGCATGACCAATCAGCAGTTAATATCTCTACCTGTGAAGATCCGGGTTAGAATAGGTCTTCAGCAACCCATGCTTGTAAGAGGCGACTAATGGGATTAGGTGGTCAGACTTGCTGATTTGGTTGATCGTATCACAATTGCGTAGATCGATGCTCATGATGTCAATCACCGGATTGACTGGTCCAGACTTTATTATTTACAGACCGCCATCATATAGCTGGAATATTGCTGTGCGTCGTTAAACAACAAGAAACAAACAAACAAACAAAAGTTATTATCTGTTTGTGTTACAAATTGACAGTACATGGGTAGTTTGGTTCAGTCTACAATGGCACGTACTGTCTCCCACAGCTCTACTGCAGTCATCTCAACTCGTACCTGCAAACCAACTTCCCCCAGAATCTGTCCGATGTCCTCTCTCTGGTTATACAAGGTAGGCTGCTGGAACACCACCCTCCTTCTCACCTTATCACCTTGTTACTGTCAGATTCGGAATATACAATGTTCAAGCTTCGTTTTCTAATTGGGGTTAAGTGTTCAGGATTTTGGATCAGAATCGGTCACTGGTTCCTCAAGCTTTTAGATCTCACTGTATTGTGGATTGAGTGGTCTAGCTCTGTGATATGGCTCATAGTGTGTCATCACCTTTAGACAGCATGAGGGCGGTGGGGTACACTCGTGGTAAAAGCATTTGCTTGTCACCCTGAAGGCAGTGGGTTTGATTCCGCCAATGGGTACAATGTGTGAAGCCATTTCTAGTGTCCCCCACCATGATATTGCTGGAATATTGCTAAAAGCTGTGTAATTCCATCCTCACTCGCTCGCTTGCTCACTCACTCACTCACTCACTCACTCAGTAGTAGAGTAGAACTCTTTTCTTGACCCAAGCAGTGACAATTCACAGGACGTAATTAGTGTTTGAATGACATTGTTTATATATTTGTTACAAGTGTTGCTCAATAAACAGTGATGTGGAGTACATAGTTTGTTTTCAGCGTATGACTAAGTTGGTAGTCTAAGTTGGTTTTTCTGCTATCCGAAATGTCTTATTATTGATATAAATGCGATGTTTAATAATGCGAGCAAAGACTACTCGCATTTTTCGCATTTAATTCATGCTCACGTTAATTTCAAAATTTACAGTATGTGGAGTCTTCAATACTTCATTTAATTAAATTGCAGGAATCAAAAAAGTGTTCTGGCAGTAGGGTAGCCTATTGGTAAACTTACTCACTCACTCATTCAAAAAATGCTTGTCACTCATGTATGATCTGATTTCACGTTTCCTCTAAGAAGCGGCTAAAATGGAAATTCCATTCAATATGTTCTCTGTTTACTACTTACTTGGGTGACAGCTGGCAAGTTACTGTGTTGACAGGGTCAGCGGTGGAGAGGCTTCATGTTCAGTGTTGGGAGATATTACTTGGCGAATGCTTCACCCCAGTCACCCAGAGTCTGGCTCCCCAACAACGGAAGCCATCAATCTGCTTCTCCTTGTGTGACGTGGAGGCATGCACAGACACAGTCCTTGCCACAACACAGGTGAGATCCTCTATTGGCAGCCAGCCGGTCAAAAAATATGAAGTGGAAATAAAGGATGAAAGTACGCAATAATAGTCAAATGTTACGAATAAAGAATGAATGTTCCAAATAAAGGTCATTGTTTACTTAAAAAATAATGAATTCAAAATACAAAATATTACCAATGAACAACTTGCAAATGAAAGACGTCTGATGTAAAGAAAGAACAATGTGTACGAAAGAACGTCAGTGCACAAAAAGGACACTAAACTGTTAAAGGACAACAATAAAGAATTCAAGATGGCTGCAATTTGTAAAACGTTCCGAGTGCACGAGGAATGACGTAATACTTGGGCACTTTGGCACTTTGGCATGCATTTATCATATACACAGCGGAACAAACTGATTAAACTTGGAATGTTTTACAAATCGTCAGCATGTTTAGATGATTGCCATAGTTTCACACAGAGGATGGCCCATTTTCACACATGGCACTAATTATGTCTTGACCAAGATTAAAGGTGTTCCTAGATCATGGAACATACATACCGTATTTTCTTGAGTATAGTGCGCACATTTTTTCGAAAAAACACAGCTGTGTAGAAGGGGGTGCGCATTATACATGAATTATGAGTTTGGATGTTTTTTTCCCCCATGGAAAGACATTACCGTGAGCATGAAACACCGGAAATACCATGTCAACAAATCCATACTGAAGTACGCAAAAATAATCATGTAATTACACTGTCTGGCTATAAAAAGTGTTCTTTGTATATCTGGACTTATGTTTGTAACTTATTTCATTAATTTTATTCAAAATTCCTTATAATATTGTTTTTATTAATTTCGGCGAAATCGTGTGTGAAGCGATCGGAAGATCGCACAACTCACCGTTATTAACAGCAACCACGGTCAGAATACCGCTATTGACGCCTTGAAACGAACTTTAGTTGACAGAGAATTGATACATATATCATAAATGACATACTTTGGCTCGTTAAAAGTCATATTTGTTTTTGTTTGACGATTCTATGTCAACATGAAATTCTCGTGATCACGCGATCACGTGCGCGTGAGCCTTGACGGTGACTGGTCAGACTGGTTCCATGTAAAAAATAATACCCGGGAATAGCGATCAGCTGCTTCGCTTAGGGTTATTATTATTTTAAATATGTTTAGTAAAGGCTGCATATAATTAAGAAAATAATGGAATATATTATTCCTGATAAAAAAAAATAGTTTCAGATACAATTGTTGCCGATCCTTGCATTAAAAATCCTATAAAGTTATATAATTGGGTGTGTCTTGACCGAATCACCGGTCGATTCCAAGAAAACGTGTGTACAGCTGATTGCTGTTTCCGGCTTAGTTTAGGAGAAAATACACAAGGTAATCTTAATCCCTAGATATAAAACAATGGCTAGCAGAACAATAAATACTATTTAAACGGTAAATAAACATGTCTGGTGATTTTTTATCTCAAATTTCGAATTTGTACTGACGAAGTTTCTCAGCGCCCGTTCGTTTGCCGGACTTCGCTGAGAGGGTACGGTGTAAATTTTTTCTGCGCATAATATTGAAATTTCTTTTTTTCCAAAATATTGAACCCGCTAGAGGGGGGTGCGCATTATACATGGGTGCGCACTATACTCAAGAAAATACGGTAGTAGCCTTTGAGAGATCAATCTCATTAAAATCACATCTTAGTTCTCGCTTCCGCTAAACAAAGATCTCAGGACATCCCTTTACCGGTCACGTCAGACCGACCTTGCGCAAACTTTGACTGACCAATGGATTGACAAATCAGAAGGAAGCTTTTTCATGCTTTAAGGCACCAATTTCAAATTGACGACAACGCTTCGAAACATATTTTGACAAATTCTCGATTACAAATTTGAAACCTGAACAAAAGAACATTCTGGAATGGCTAATAGATGGTCGAGATTGTATGGATTCAGTTGTTAAACCTGCAACTATCTTTCGGAATACCCCGTGTTAAAGTTTTCAAGGTTGCATGATTAGAAATCACATTCCGACTGTCAGTTTCATGATCTGGTGAGCAACACTCTGATTAATCAGATGAAAGGTCATTTTGACGTGACCCCTAATGCGATGTCTTCAGATCTTTGTTCAGTGGTAGCGAGAACTTAGGTCTGATTTGAATGAGATTGTTGAGAGATGTATCTCCTGTGTTCTGACTGTTCTACCTGATACAGTGGACAGACCCAAAGTCACCCCATGACGTGATGAAACAATTATACTGTACTGTGACATGAATATAGCATCACAATAAAGACGTGAAAGAGATGTACCTCCTGTGATCTGACAACATGTATTGTGTTCTACCCGACACAGCTGACGGAGACCCTTCAGTGGCTGTCCAATCAGTTCATGCAGCTTCGCCTCCAAGACTCGGAGACCGCCTCGTTTGGCCTCTACCCCAAGTGGAGCCGCTACATCCCCTATGTGTCCCACTTCCTCGGGGGACTCATGAGAAGCTTCGTCACAAAGATGCTGCCGAATTTCACAGAGATGAACCCATACCAAGGTCAGAATATTGTACAATCGTGCCCCGTTTATACGGACACTTGCGTCATTTCACAATTCGTCCGTATAAATGAATTTCCGTATAACTGAAACCAGCTTCTTACTGGAAGAGTTACTTCCCTTCAATTATGCAACTCATGACAGATGACAGAATGTCGATTTTCCTATGGTATGTCCAAATTCAGTGCCATAATGCTTACTGATGGTTTCTAAACTTGCTGACGGGTGTTTTTCCTTAAACAGACAAATTTCCATTTTTTCGCGTGCTGTAACTGCGTGTCGCTCACATTTCGCTGGTTGACAGGCCATACTTACACAACTTTGACCTCTGACCTCCACAGACGCCATATTTATCGAATGGGATTACATGTACAACAAACAAGCTCATCTCAAACGTAACTCAGTGTCACTTGGTTAATTGACTTCTCACGAATCAAAGGATTACCACCAGCGGAAGGATTACCACCAGCGGAAGTGTATTGTCCGGATAAGTGAGACAATTTTGTGTGCATTTCAGTGTTTTGTGTATGAAAATGACTGTCCGGTTCCGGAAACTGAATTTCCATATATACGGGTAAATTTATATAGTAATTATTTCGTTTTGAATGAAAATCGTCCGAGAACCGAGCGGGGCACGACTGTATTGGCAAAGCGCTTGTAGAAACAAATTCTTCCTTTAACTTATGTACATAGTTCCAGTAAGATTCGTTCATGTATGTCCTTTATGTTTCAGGTCAGGGTAGTTAATCCTTTTTAATAAGATAACAAAATTTCTGTAATACAAATTTGTCTAATTTAAAGGACAAGAAAAGTGTTGTATGGACGACTGATGAAATAGGTCTGCTCTAGCCATATGACAGACATATGCTCATCTGTTTAAGAATTGTGTTTAGATTGGCTTATGATCAAGGGTAGAGGGCCCTGTTTCACAAAGTGATCTTGGCCCTATCTTTGTTATTGTTTAGCAGGTTCTATCATTACATTAGGGCTTAACTGGGCAAGGACCTCATATCAAAATTGAAGGGAGCTCTGACAGTGGTAGCACAGAGGTTACTTTCTGAAATTGGTCCCATGGCCAAGCCTCACAATGCAATCCTTGCAGCCATTGTCATATCTCATACACATTAGAAATAGACCCAAAATAGACTTCATTTCACAAACATCTTAGGTCTATGTAAATATTGTCTATTTTAGCCAGTGGGAGTTATGATAGTCATAAGATTGCTTTGTGAAACTTGGCCAAGGGACCACTGTCACATTGTAATCTTGTGACAATGCTTGACGGAAGAGGCGACTAGTGGGATCGGGTGGTCAGGCTCACTGACTTGGTCGATGCTCATGATGTCAATCACAGGATTGTCTGGTTCAGGCTCGATTATTTACAGACCGCCGTCATATAGCTGGAATATTGCTGAGTGCGGCGTTATACATCAACAATAAAACAAACATTGTAGTCTCAGCGTTATGGCTGTTGTAGCTCCCATTCTTTAACTTGGACACTCTTTCATTGTCGTGTAAGTCCTTTAGTGGAACTTGTCCAGGGACCACTGTCACATTCTAATCTCAGCATTATGGCTGTTGTAGCTCCCATTCTTTAACTTGGACACTCTTTCATTGTCGTGTAAGTCCCTTTGTGGAACTTGTCCAGGGACCACTGTCACATTCTAATCTCAGCGTTATGGCTGTTGTAGCTGCCATTCTTTAACATGCAAGCTGATAGCTGTGTCCCGTTGTCTGTGTCAGTGCTGGACATGACATGGAAGCAGGTCCTGGACCTGTTCGCTGCCTGGATCCAGCCTCTGAGCAACCCCCAGCAGACCTGGTACCCCTGGATAGAGAGTGACAGCCTCGTGGCACTGGAGATGGTGGCCATGTTCCGCAAGGTGGTGGACTACATCAGAATACAGTTCTCAGGTAAACTCCATCACTGAACTAATGACTCATCAAGTACAGTACATGGTTATTGACCTGTCAAGATCCAGGGTCGAATAGGTCTTCAGCAACCCATGCTTGCCGTAAAAGGCGACTATGCTTGTTGTAAGAGGCGACTAATGGGATCGGGTGGTCAGGCTCGCTGACTTGGTTGATGCATGTCATCATATTCCAATTGCGTGGATGGATGCCCATGATGTCAATCACTGGATTGTCTGGTCCAGGCTCGATTATTTACAGACCGCCGTCTTATAGCTGGAATATTGCTGAATGCGGCGTAAAACAACAAACCAACCAACATGGTTATGATAAACACAGATACAGCACAAGGGTTTTCCTGGGTCATTCTATCTTTCAGTCTGGGGGACTCCGGGACAGTAATACATTTGGGGGGCCCGAGGTTAGACATCCAGAACTTTGAGGTTATTTCTTACCAGAATACAAATGTCAGAATGTAACATGCAATGAATTTTTTTTATTTTTTGCATCCGAAGAACTTGCACTATTTTGCATCCAATAAAACTATGAACGTACTAATGGTTTTTCTTGATATAACCTGTTTTAAGAAAAATCCCTCACTGGTTTCCTATATTTCCTATATTATCCTAAACAATTCAACTGAACAATAGTAACAGTAGGGAGCAGGGCGGTATTATATTATCACACTTGTTCTACATATTAACATATTAAAATGGGCGTAACATAAGGGATGAACTTCAAGTGTACTCCAGAATCACCCTACCTAGACCGGAACTACAAATAACATGCTTCCCACCAGAGTGGAATTGCAGGTACAAAGGGAGGCCGGAGTTAAAATATTTTCAGTCTGGTTACTGGAGGAATGCATTTTTTTAAACATTTTTTTTAACATTTCTTTTTTCTTTGTAATATTGAATAACCATATAATATTGATAACTAAAGCAAACAAGAAAAAATGTAATTGTTGGTCTCCAATGTCCTTTATTATGCTAAAATTATGTTTGATTGGGTTAAATTACAACTGATTGGCTCTGATTTGCACAATGTTTTCAGCCCTTTTGTAAAAGAAGATGATTTGTTACTTGGAAGTACACAATGCACAAGAATTCTGACCCTTTCTCAGAAGGACCCATAAGTATTGTCACCAAGCTAAACTTCTTGGTCATTTCTGGATATTGGTAACTGCAGAATATGACAATATTCACTTCATGATGCATATAAGGGGCGGTCGGGTAGCCTAGTGGTTAAAGCGTTTGCTCGTCACGCCGAAGACCCGGGTTCGATTCCCGACATGGGTACAATGTGTGAAGCCCATTTCTGGTGTCCCCCGCCGTGATATTGCTGGAATATTGCTTAAAGCGGCGTAAAACCATACTCACTCACTCACTCATGATGCATATACTTCTCCACTTTAAATATGTTTATTTTGCCATAATACACAATACTGACTCTAATATGTCAAGTATATATTAAAAAACATATGACAGAATGACATATCTGATAATCCCTATCAGTGGAGTAGTATAATAAAAAGAATATGTGTGACCCACCCGGGGATAGGGACCTTATGGGTGCTAAGATACAATTGTGCTGTGACGTGATAAAGATGTTAGACGTCAACTTGCTTCAGGGAAGATAGCCATGTGTGATGTCATGTATCTCTGTAATCAATATGAATTGAAGGTCGTGAATTGTATTTTTGTATTCCGAAGATGTTGTAGTTTTAAAATATATTATAAAGTCAAAGTGTGATTTTCCACCGATAAGGTCCCTTATTGTTGGTCACAAATGTTGATTCTGGTGTCCCCCGCCGTGATATTGCTGGAATATTGCTAAAAGCGGCGTAAAACCATACTCACTCACTCACTCACTCACAAATGTTGACATTAACAAAAAGCCTGACAGGAGTTTTTCGTGTGTGCAGCCAAGATGGCGGACATGGATGGTCGAGTGCTAGGCATGCTGCTGATGTACCACATGAACTGCCTGTCCACCCCCGCCCTGCCCATCTGCATCGCCGACATCTACAACCAGGAGCTGAGACAGCTCCCCTGGGAGCAGCTCAAGCCGGACCTGCAGCTCCTTGAGATGATGGCACAGGTGATGGATGACCTTTCTGTCAGTAACAAGTCAGTAGTGTAGTAGTAAGGTTGTAAGTGATCACTGTAATTGAGACATCCTGGCTGGCAGACATAGTGGGCTGTGCATGGTGGGAGTTGCAGGCAGGTGGAATCAGATAACTTTGGGGTCAATGATTTATGATATATTGGCCTCAAAAGGGGATTAACACTATGGCCACATAAAACAGATGTCAATACAGGGAATTTATGATGTAATCAGCTTTAATTCCACAGTATCAAATGGTCGGTTTAATTTAAAAATTATATAATTTCTGTATAGAAAATAGAGGTTCACTTTATCATGTTTATTATATTTTTATTAAAATTTGGAGCTTTGACATGCAATCCTGTATATTGATTTCTCGACCTGTGAAGATTCCGGGGTAACATAGGTCTTCAGCAACCCATGCTTGCCGTAAAAGGTGACTAACAGGATCGGGTGGTCATTCTCGGTTACTTGGTTGATGTCATCTTATCCCAATTGCATGGATCAATGCTCATGATGTCAATCACTGGATTGTCTGGTCCAGACTTGGATTATTTACAGACCGCTGTCATATAGGTAGAATATTGCAGAGTGCGGCATTAAACAACAAACATTTCTCTCTGTGATTTTTATCCATTTATATCAGCTGCTTGAAATATATTGCACAATTTGAAAGGTGGATCAAATGTTAAACCAGTTCTTATTTACTTCTCAGTTGAAGGAGCGTGTGACTGCACCATGCTTCCACCTGATAGGCTACATCCTGACAAAAGTGACGTGGAATGAGCTGGTGCAGTACCTCATGATCTACCAGCCCCCGGACATGACAGCCAGGTTCCAGTCAGCCCTGCTCATCCTGCTGGTGCAGTGCTATGGGGACAAGTCACTCCTGGAGGTGGGTGGGGATAGTTGATGGAGGGGGTGGGAGTCAGCCCTGCTGGTGCAGTGCTATGGGGACAAGTCACTCCTGGAGGTGGGTGGGGATAGCTGATGGAGGGGGTGGGAGTCAGCCCTGCTGGTGCAGTGCTATGGGGACAAGTCACTCCTGGAGGTGGGTGGGGATAGTTGATGGAGGGGGGTGGGAGTCAGCCCTGCTGGTGCAGTGCTATGGAGACAAGTTCCTCCTGGAGGTGGGTGGGGATAGCTGATGGAGGGGGTGGGAGTCAGCCCAGCTGGTGCAGTGCTATGGAGACAAGTCCCTCCTGGAGGTGGGTGGGGATAGTTGATGGAGGGGGTGGGAGTCAGCCCTGCTCATCCTGCTGGTGCAGTGCTATGGGGACAAGTCACTCCTGGAGGTGGGTGGGGATAGCTGATGGAGGGGGTTGGAGTCAGCCCTGCTGGTTCAGTGCTATGGGGACAAGTCACTCCTGGAGGTGGGTGGGGATAGTTGATGGAGGGGGTGGGAGTCATCTCTGCTGGTGCAGTGCTATAGGGACAAGTCACTCCTGGAGGTGGGTGGGGATAGTTGATGGAGGGGGTGGGAGTCAGCCCTGCTCATCCTGCTGGTGCAGTGCTATGGGGACAAGTCACTCCTGGAGGTGGGTGGGGATAGTTGATGGAGGGGGTGGGAGTCATCTCTGCTGGTGCAGTGCTATGGGGACAAGTCACTCCTGGAGGTGGGTGGGGATAGTTGATGGAGGGGGTGGGAGTCAGCCGTGCTGGTGCAGTGCTATGGGGACAAGTCACTCCTGGAGGTGGGTGGGGATAGTTGATGGAGGGGGTGGGAGTCATCTCTGCTCATCCTGCTGGGGCGGTGCTATGGGGACAAGTCACTCCTGGAGGTGGGTGGGAGTAGCTGATGGAGGGGTTGAGAGTCTTATCTACCTTTACGTTTGAATAAAATGCATTCAATTGGGCTTGAATTTGGCAACCATTGTTAATGTAGCAAATAATTGTTCTATAACACGATCAAATATTGAAACACTGGAGTGTGTCCATATAAGCATCAGTAGCCTGTTCATATTATATGTCAGTTATCATATTGCTCGTAATATCTGCACCTTACTTTAATCACTGGTTTGTCTGGTCTAGGTTATTGACAGGCCGCTGTCTCGACACAACAAACATCACCTTAATCAACCACTGACTTATATTCGTTTGTGAATGCTCCTCTTTCAGAAACCAGAGAGTGTCAAGTTGTTGACAGCTGCAGAGAACTTCAACTGGCTGTATGTGGGGTCGTCCAGCTATAGGGTGGCTAGCAACTGGTTCATGCAGTGCTGTGACCCCGTCTGTGTCCTGGCAGAAAGGTCGTCCGCTCTTGCATTGGGGCTGAAGTAAGTCACTGTTGTTATATAACCAGGACCTCTTCTGTTCTTTACACTGTGTCTCATGTTAGTTGTTGTTTACATCTGCTAATACCACATCTCCAGGACCTCCTCTGTCCTTTACACTGGGACTCGAGTAAGTGGCAGTTGTCATCTCCAGGACCTCCTCTGTCCTTTACACTGGGACTCGAGTAACTGGCAGTTGTCACCTCCAGGACCTCCTCTGTCCTTTACACTGGGACTCGAGTAAGTGGCAATTGTCATCTCCAGGACCTCCTCTGTCCTTTACACTGGGACTCGAGTAAGTGGCAATTGTCATCTCCAGGACCTCCTCTGTCCTTTACACTGGGACTCAAGTAAGTGGCACTTGTCATCTCCAGGACCTCCTCTGTCCTTTACACTGGGACTCGAGTAAGTGGCAATTGTCATCTCCAGGACCCCCTCTGTCCTGTACACTGGGACTCGAGTAAGTGGCAATTGTCATCTCCAGAACATCCTGTGTCCTTTACACTGGGACTCGAGTAAGTGGCAGTTACCATATCTCTAGGGCCTCCTGTGTCCTGTACACTGGGACTCGAGTAAGTGGCAATTGTCATCTCCAGAACATCCTGTGTCCTTTACACTGGGACTCGAGTAAGTGGCAGTTACCATATCTCTAGGGCCTCCTGTGTCCTGTACACTGGGACTCGAGTAAGTGGCAATTGTCATCTCCAGGACCCCCTCTGTCCTGTACACTGGGACTCGAGTAAGTGGCAATTGTCATCTCCAGAACATCCTGTGTCCTTTACACTGGGACTCGAGTAATTGGCAGTTACCATATCTCTAGGGCCTCCTGTGTCCTGTACACTGGGACTTGAGTAAGTGGCTGTTGTCATCACCAGGACCTCCTCTGTCCTTTACACTGGGACTCGAGTAAGTGGCAATTGTCACCTCCAGAACATCCTGTGTCCTTTACACTGGGACTCGAGTAATTGGCAGTTACCATATCTCTAGGGCCTCCTGTGTCCTGTACACTGGGACTTGAGTAAGTGGCTGTTGTCATCACCAGGACCTCCTCTGTCCTTTACACTGGGACTCGAGTAAGTGGCAATTGTCACCTCCAGAACATCCTGTGTCCTTTACACTGGGACTCGAGTAAGTGGCACTTGTCATCTCCAGGACCCCCTCTGTCCTGTACACTGGGACTCGAGTAAGTGGCAATTGTCATCTCCAGAACATCCTGTGTCCTTTACACTGGGACTCGAGTAAGTGGCACTTGTCATCACCAGGACCCCCTCTGTCCTGTACACTGGGACTCGAGTAAGTGGCAATTGTCATCTCCAGAACATCCTGTGTCCTTTACACTGGGACTCGAGTAAGTGGCAATTGTCATCTCCAGGACCTCCTCTGTCCTTTACACTGGGACTCGAGTAAGTGGCACTTGTCATCTCCAGGACCTCCTCTGTCCACTGGGACTCGAGTAAGTGGCTGTAACCATATCTCTAGGGCCTCCTCTGTCCTTTACGCTGGGACTCAAGTAAGTGGCTGTTACCATATCTCTAGGGCCCACTCTGTCCTTTACACTGGGACTCAAGTAAGTGGCTGTTACCATATCTTCAGGACCTCCTGTGTCCTTTACACTGGGACTCGAGTAAGTGGCTGTTACCATATCTCTAGGGCCCCCTCTGTCCTTTACACTGGGACTCGAGTAAGTGGCTGTTACCATATCTCTAGGGCCCCCTCTGTCCTTTACACTGGGACTCGAGTAAGTGGCTGTTACCATATCTCTAGGGCCTCCTCTGTCCTTTACGCTGGGACTCGAGTAAGTGGCTGTTACCATATCTCTAGGGCCCCCTCTGTCCTTTACACTGGGACTCAAGTAAATTCCTTGTGTCGTATATCTAGGTTCTTCACCATCCATTACACTGGGTCTCAAGTAAGTCGCTGTTGTGGCATAACCAGGACATTTTCTGTATTTTGGGGATTATGATATGGCTTTGTAGAGATGAGTGAATGAGATTTTTTTCTAATTGCAACACCTTAGACTGGGCAACCTATGCTTTATCAATTTGATAATTCTTTATGTATAGGAAAGCATCTCTCTTATCGAATCATTTCTTCATTTCCGCTTACAGACTGATGCGGGTGGGAGCAGGGTTCAGCAACGACACCGGCGTGCCCTGGTCAGAGGACCTGTCCACCAAGAGATTGATGTACGTGCACTGCATCACCCAGCTGCTCTGTCAGTGCTCCTACAGGGCAGACGTCAACACGGAGGCCATCTCCACCGTCATCGTCAACCTCCTCACAGAGATAGAGGCTGTGGAAACCTCTGGTAGGTTTTTTTGGAGTTTGTTGAGAACCTCCTCACAGAGATAGAGGCTGTGGAAACCTCTGGTAGGTTTTTTTGGAGTTTGTTGAGAACCTCCTCACAGAGATAGAGGCTGTGGAAACCTCTGGTAGGTTTTTTTGGAGTTTGTTGAGAACCTCCTCACAGAGATAGAGGCTGGAAACCTCTGGTAGGCTGTTTTGGAGTTTGTCGAGAACCGTATTCGACGTAATAAGCGCCCGACTCTAATAAGCGCCCATGGCGATATTTGCTAATATATTAGCTGGTGATTAATCCCAATTAGCACTCCTTCCGATTGATCAATGTACACAAGACTTATTTATTCGTGTATAATACGCAGTCGTGTGTTATATGCACCCTTAAGTATGGGCAATTAAATTCTGAAAAAATATGCTTGTCGTATATAAACATTTCAGGCTGTCAGCATAAACCATGAAATTTACGATCTTTCAACTCTGTTTTTTTCACCAAAATAATATTCTAATAAGAGCCCCCTGGGTGCTTATTACGTCAAATGCGGTAATAAGATTTCGGCAGAATCCCCAGCTACCTCATCATGTGTCTGAGTGGGTATCCATGTTAAAATTGGGACATGGTATCTCAGTGGGCAAGCACTTTAAATAAAGAGGATTTGTCTTGACCAGTACACAAACTCAGTCGCGCAAGTGCGAGGGCACGCACAAGGGCAGACACGAGGCCACGCACGCACCCACACGCACAAAATGTGGGTTGGCATCTGTGCAAGTCTACTGCATGTGTTTAATCTATGACTTCAGTGTTGGACATGAAGACCCAGCAGGAAGAATCTCTTGACTTGGTCAAGGATGTCCTCAGTCTTCTCAACAACTGCAACCCAGAAGGCAATGCCCTCAGTTTCGTCATGACAACCATCACAGACTGGCTGAAGTCCTCCCCTCACAGCATCCTACTCACCCCCTGCATCAAGGCCGCCAGCCGATGCCTGGCCTCCCTACAACAGATGGTGCAGATCACCGAGGCCTGCATCGAGGTCTACTTCACAGCGGGTACGTGTACACCACTCATCATTATTTCAGCCATATACCGATGAGAACAAGTTAATATATACAAGCGAGTCATAAATAAATTATTTAATAACAAATTTGTCAAACATATTTGGCATAACAATATTATTTATGCAGTATAAAACATGGGGCATAGGCCACCAGTAACCAAAGCATGATACCCCAGCAGGATTTATGTCATCATATTAGCTACTGGTGGGTGTGCACAATGCTAGCCAATATTAAAAAATACTCTGCCTGAGTTGGCTTAAAACACTGGTTGATGATAGTTACATCGATTATGAAAAGTATTATGTGTCACACAGGTGGACAATTAAATTACAGTATTTTAACCTGGACAGAGCCTTCGATAATTTTAACTAATAAAAGCATCACACCAAATTTAAAAACAAGCAATTAGTTATTCACATACATATTTCAAATTTATGACACAGACCAATTTGTTTAGAATGAGATGCCCACTCACATGGGAAAAGTGATCTTTCAGATTTACTGTTTGATTTGTTTGAAGGGCCCTGTGTTTTTTAGGTTAGAATAGGTCCCCAGAAACCTATGCTGGTCGTAAGAGGAGACCAAATGGGTCAGGTGGTCAGCCTCGGTGACCTAGTATTATCCGTGTCATCATACCCAGAGGGCGTGGATCTTTGCTCACAATATTGGTCACTGTCATATAGGTGGAATAATATGTGGACAATGCGACGTTACACAACAAACATACATTATATGAGGGCCAGTTTGGTAGCCTAGTGGTTAAAGCGTGCGCTCGCCATGCGGAAGGTCTGGATTTCATTTCCCACATGGGGACAATATGTGAAGCCCATTTCTTGTTACCCAGTCATTAATATTGGTAGAAAAGGCATTAAATCTAACTCTCTCCCTCATTAATTGTAGGATGGTCCCAGAGTGATGAAAGTAATTCTTTTCACACAGAAGGCTACCTTTCCAATTTGAGTATCATTTGTGAAACTTTGTGTTCCTAGCTCTCTTGATTTCACGACAAGGGTATTATGTCTTGATTTGGTTGATATTTTGTTTGAAGGGATGTAAAACACACCAAAAGGAGTTACACATCTGCATATCAGACAGTCGTCGTTAAATGTTTAGCAATTTTGGCTTCATCTCTGAAATTTGTTTTGTAGGGGTTCCTCCAAAATGATTGAAAACATCAAAGTCAGAGTTGAATGTTTGTATTTACTAAAAGGTTTGATAAGTTGTCAGTTGTGAAGGATGTTGCCAAAAGAACACATCTTCTCCCCACCATGATATTGCTGGAGTATTGCTAATAGCATTGTAAAACCATACTCACTCACTCACTCACTCACTCACTCACTCACTCACTCATCTTCTCTTAAAGTGTGTGGTATAAGGTATTTCTTTATCATCCTGATATACATCTGTTTTTTTATCTTTACATACTCAGCAGCAGCAAACATGATGAGTAGGAATTTTACCAAATTCATAATATCGGATAAATATTGTTGCTGGCGCTGAATTTGTGCTGAAACATTGGTTAAGGAGACTGATACTAGCTTTAGCTGAATACTGTTGAAAGTTATAGCTGGCAGAAAAGAATGAGAATTGGAATGATCGTCGATGGGAAGAAATATTAACAATTATCAATATGAACATTGTTTCAGTGATAATATCTTTCATAAACTATCATGATGAAATAAAGTTTAGATGTACCCTAACGGTCTTGTTATTGTCAATAATGTCAATTGTCGAAGACGGAAACTAACTGTTTTTGTTGTATCTTTAATGTCCACAAAGTAATCCTTGCATCAACATGATAAGGACCGCCTCCGTGGTCTTGTGGTAGAGCGTCCGCCCGGAGAGCGGAAGGTCCAGGGTTCGATCCCGGGCCGCGTCATACAAAAAGACGTTAAAAGATGTACTTGTTGTTACCCTGTCTGGCGCTCGGCATTAAGGGGCTAAAACAAGGACTGGTCGGCTCGGAGTCAGTATACTGTGTCTGAGTGGGGTATTCATGTTAAACTGCGGCATGGTATCTCAGTGAGCTAGCACTATAAATCGGCATCAGTCCGGACTAGTACAAGCAGCCACACACACACATACACGTGCATGCACGTCGCTATATAAGTGCAATAATCTTGGACGCGACGTTAAACCCAATTTCACCTCACCTCACCTCAACATGATAAATGTGTCACTGCTCACTAGTGGAGTGGAATATGCTGTTTCCTTTCAGACTTTTTTTTCATATTTGCTCAAAGTTACATTTCCAAAATTTTATTGATAATTGTTCGATATTTAGTTGACAATTATCGATCTCCATGTGTATCGAAAGCCAGCCCTGTTGAAATAAAACAATAAATCCAACTCACTCACTCACTTGCATATCCCTTGAGGCTAACATTGACAATGGAAAAGATGCTCCCCAATACTTCCCATGATCTCATTCTCAAACATCCAGATGTGAGTGATATGTTGCCTCATTCATCTCTCCTCAGACCAAAACACAGGAAGCAGTGGACAGTGGGACCACATCCTGGCTGTTTTCCAAATGCCGGAACTGAACGTATCTGACTGCATCAACGAGGCCATCAACCAGGGTTCCTACCTGATGCTGTACGCTCACACCCTGCAGCAGATACCCCTGTGTCAGAGCTACAAGGATGAACTCAAGCTGATGGACAACCTGGTCAACTGGACCAACGACATCAAGCCTGGGTGAGGAGAGGGGCTGTACCCCCCTAAAATGTTTCTATGAATGAGATTTTGTTTTAGTCATGGTCCAGGGGCCACATGCCCCAGATAGCTCCAGGGCTAAGCCATGGTGGCAGATCTAGGAGGTGAAGCCACCAACCAAAAATGATATTTACCAATGACTAGTATTTTGAACCCTTTTTGGTTTTTTTAAGAAATGTGTGAGATTTCCTCAGTGATTGTGAGAGTGTGATCCATGATGTATGGTTCATGTTGTTTAAAGCCACACTCAGCAATATTGCAGCTATATGATGGTGGTCTGTAAATAATCGAGTCTGGACCAGACAATCCAGTGATTGACATCATGAGCATCGATCCACGCAGTTGTGATATGATGACGTGCATCAACCAAGTCAGCGAAGCATGGGTTCCTGAAGACCTATTATACCGCAGATCTTCACGGGACACATGAAGAAAATGTGTGAGTTGTAATCAAAATGAATGAGAGTTGACAGGTATGCAGAGGGCCAGTGAGCAGACTGAAGGAACCATTGATCACATCAGCGGCACAGGTGGCCGAGTGGTGTAATATGTTGCTGTTTTCTGTGCCGAGTTAGGTACCTTTGATGGCCAGGATCTTTTGGTCATGGGTTTGAGTCCTTGATTCTCTCTTCTCTTTCGAACTTTAGTCTGTCAGCACCATACCTCTTCTCAAGGGATTCACAAAAGTGGCATGCTTGTATGAACATGTTGAAACTACTGCACCTTATTTTTGCATATTCTTATTTATCATGACATTTATGAGCTAATGTAGTAATTATTCCGAAGAAATTTGGGCGGTCGGGTAGCCTAGTAGTTAAAGCGTGCGCTCGTCATGCTGAAGACCGGGTTCATTTCACGACATGGGTACAATGTATGAAGCCCATTTCTGGTGTTCCCCACCATGATATTGCTGGAATATTGCTAAAAACTGCGTGAAACCATACTCACTCACTCACTCACCCAAAGAAATTTAACTCAAGTTTTACTGATAATTTGTCCAAATTTGTCAAATTGTCAGTGATTGAATGATATGATAATACTGAAATATACTACTCCACTTGTGATAGAGATATTTTTATCTTTCCATGATACTCAAACTGATTCTCATAATATGTCAAGTGTATATTTAAATAGAAATAGAATCTGATTATCCCTATGAACAGTTGAGTGGTATACAATGCCTCGTTGTGTCTTCAGTGCTGAGAATGAGGGCAAGCTGCTGCTTTGGTGGCAAAAGCTCCTGGACCTCATCCTGAGACAGCTGGATGGGGGAGAGAGGAGGGTCCGCTGTATCCTCGCCCTCAAGAAGTTCCTCATCCAGCTCAACGTCTTCGGAGAGGACAGGGCTTCCTCAGGACTGCTTGGTGCTATAGGCTTCGGTAAAAAGTCAGCACTGTCACTGAAGTAAGTATACCATACATTGAAAACAAAAGTACCCCCAAAAATCTGAATTTCTGAATACCGGTTCTACTAAGCTACAAACTGGTCAAGGCTTCCGTGTACATTGTCTGTTGACAGATGAAGAATAAATGTTTGGTGGGACTATGTATATGGTACAAGTCATCAATTAGAGAATAAAAGGAAAGACCTGTGAAGATCCAGGGTAGAATAGGTCTTCAGCAACCCATGCTTGCCGTAAAAGGCGGCTATGCTTGTCGTAAGAGGCCACTAATGGAATCGGGTGGTCAGGCTCGCTGACTTGGTTGATGCATGTCATCGCATCCCAATTGTATGGATCAATACTCATGATGTCAATCACTGGATTGTCTGGTCCAGACTCGATTATTTACGGACCGCCATCAAATAGCTGGAATATTGCTGAGTACAGCGTTAAACAACAAACAAACAAATAAAAGGAACATTCATCTGTAGGGACTTCAACAATATGATTTGGGAAGGTGGGAGTTTGGTAGCAAGGCAGATAGTGGTGAAAATCTGATAAATTAATTTTCTGTGTCTTTTTTTGTTGCCTGGTTAGTTGAGAGTTGTTCAAGGACATATTAAATATCCTCCAAAAATGCCATCTTTTTCAAATTGCTGTTTGTAGGAGTTTGTTGCCATTACTAATCACCAAAAAATGTTAAACACAAGTATTCGTGATTTTATGGTTCCTTTTTGAAGGGTTGCTTTGGGCAAGTGCCAAATACCTTTTTATTCTCCTTTCATGGAATTCAGATACTGTTTCTATCTTCCTTTGCTGAAAAATAAAATGATCCCACCTCTAAATGTTACCAACACATGCTTTGAGTCATTTGGATGAATTGCAGGGAGCAAAATGCTTTTCTTCCATTTCTGGTGTTCCCGTACTGTTGCTGTCTTACAATCAGAGGATAGCTTGCTTATACATAGATCACCTACTCTAATTGTTGTCCCTGTGGGGATTCTGGGATAGAATTGGTCCCAAGCAACCTACGCTGGTCGCTGGTCGTAAGAGGCAACCAAATGGATCAGGTGGACAGGCTCTGTGACTTGGTTGATAGAGCGTCATCGTAACCTGACAGCATGAATTGTTGCTCACAATATGAATCACTTAATCATCTGCTCCAGACTTGTCCAGGTCAGCGTCATAAGGCTAAAATATTGATAAGTGTGAGGCTAAACAACAAACAAAACAAACTAATGATGTCCACAGTTTTCATGTTGCTTGACAATGGTAGTTCTATCCTGAAATGTCTCCTTTAATGGCCTTGCTTGACAACAGTATAAGGATCTATCCTAAAATGTGTCCTTTAATGGCCTAGCTTGACAACGCTATAAGGATCTATCCTGAAATGTCTCCTGGCCCTGCTTAAAACGCTATAAGGATCTATCCTAAAACACCTCCTTTAATAGCCTTGCTTGACAACGCTATAAGGATCTATCCTGAAATGTCTCCTTTAATAGCCTTGCTTGACAACGCTATAAGGATCTATCCTGAAACACCTCCTTTAATAGCCTTGCTTGACAACGCTATAAGGATCTATCCTGAAATGTCTCCTGGCCCTGCTTGACAACAGTATAAGGATCTATCCTAAAACACCTCCTTTAATAGCCTTGCTTGACAACGCTATAAGGATCTATCCTGAAACACCTCCTTTAATAGCCTTGCTTGACAACGCTATAAGGATCTATCCTGAAACACCTCCTTTAATAGCCTTGCTTGACAACGCTATAAGGATCTATCCTGAATTGTCTCCTTTAATGGCCTTGCTTGACAGCGGTATAAGGATCTATCCTAAAACGTCTCCTTTAATAGCCTTGCTTGAAAACGCTATAAGGATCTATCCTGAAATGTCTCCTTTTAATGGCCTTGCTTGACAGCGGTATAAGAATCTATTCCGAAACATCGCCTTTACAGTAAATAACGAAATTGTTATCAATAAATTGTGTCTACTTTGTCCACAGGTTTCGCATCATGTGTCGCACCATTGCCGCTTTCCTTGCCACCCAAATCTACAGCGACACAGAGCTCCGCCTCCAGCCCCACCAGGCCTTGTCCAACACACAGTCAGCCCGGGCCAGCCGCACAGCACTGGTCAGTCTCAAGACCAACAAGCAGTACGCCCAGTACAAGGAGCAGATCGATCTGGTGTGCCACTTCGTCCCCGACCAGACAATGTGTTTGAGAGACTCCCTAGCACTCCTGCAACAACTGGCACAAGCCTTCTTTGCCGACTGGCACTATCTGAAATGTATTCAGTGAATTAGATATAAGGATACTATTACCCATTGCGCTTAAGGTTGAAGCTACGCTAAGATCCATCTTAGCCAAGTGCAGTGGTAAACCTTCAAAATGTGAATCTACTTGGTATTTGGTGCAAGACTAGGCCCCAGTGCCCTTTGTGTGAGAGCTGACTATATACTTGTGAGAAGACTGGATGTACTGGCTAATTGTGTGTTATCTTGTCCAACCATTATGGATCATTGCTTGTGCTTCCAACCACTGATTTGCCTGACTCTGATTGATTATTTACAGACCACCATGATGTTGTTCGAATATTGCTGACTGCAGCATGAAACAGCACACACTCAAGTATAACGTTTGTTGAGTAAAAAGGTAGAGTTTCCAAAGTTTAAATAGGTGTTAAGCTTTTATAGCTGGTGCTGCATGAAGGTTTCAATCTTTAGCATATAACTCCCTTATTAAACTTTCGAAACTGACATTACTTGCATAGATTGTAAAGTTGATGTCACTAGTTGTCCCAACAGATGTGGTGGCACGGGTGGCCCAGTAGTCTAAGGCGCCGCGATTTGCTGTGCAGAGTTGCGTCCCAAGGGCACACCAGAAACCTATGTTTGTGGGTTTGTATATCCGGGTTCGCCCCGATTATGTTTATAGGTTTGTCTGCACCATACCCGTGCTCGTGGGTTTCACCAAAGTGGTTAACGTCTGAGACCTGCATCACTTCGGGCTTTCCTCCCACATTAAGCCGCCACGGAGTGATATAACTGGAATACTGTTAAAAGCGGCGTTAAACCCAACTCACTCACTCACACTCCAACAGATGTGCACTCACATTGTAGTCACAGTTAACATGAACAATATGTAATCCTTCCTGCAATATTTTGATTGTATTTCTTTAATTTGATTACTAAGCGATACTGATCTCGTCACTGTAAGTTTTTATGAATATAGTCATGACTAGAGTGAGTGAATTACTAGGGTTTTGTGCTGCTTTTATCAGTATTCTAGCAATACCATGGTGTGCAACTCCAGAAACACATCGTTTCCATGTGGGGGAAAAAAAGCAGGAATGAGGGAACTTGTTAACCACTTGGCTACCTCACTGCCACTAAGGCCAGTGGAATTTCCAGTGCAGAGATGTGTAGATGTGTTGGTTAACATAGATAATTTGGGTGTCACATAATTATCAAGTACAGTAAACTACATCTTCCCGAGGCAAGGGATTTAACTGACTATAAAAGTCCAGTTTCCACCCTTGCCGAACTAGGCTGGTCTTACTGAGTTATAGTTTGGCTGGACTAACGAGTCTATGCATAGTCAAATCAAAATCGTGAATCGAAATCCGGTTCGTAAACTGTTGTGCAGATTTCGGTTGATTGCAGGATTTGCAAAGCATGTGCACCAGCCAACTCGTTGTCAACAGATATTTTCCAAATCTTTTAATGTTTTTAATCAAGGTGCACTCGTGATTTGATGCATTTCGCGATGTAAGACCCGTTTTATCACACTATAGACCTTGATTATCGATAAGATCGTCATGACTTGGTTCCAGTTTTGTTTGAAGCAAATGCAAGTGATACGAGAATCTGATTGGTCCATCGGAGAGGCTTAGAAGGGACTTAGAAGGGACCTAGAAGGGACTTAATAGCCACTGGTGGCTCTACGATCGAGCCCAGGAATTCCAGCCTAGTTGGGTAAGGGTTGAAACGGGACTTTTAAGTCAGTTAACTCTCTTGCCTCGGGAAGATGAGTAAACTATGGCTAAAACAAACTCAAAGGGAACACTAATGTTTTGTTTAAATCATAGTTTGTTATTAGCACATATACAGCATATATACAGCAAATGGCCCGCACCATAAATCAGTTTGATATATCTGTCTGTTCGTTATAAGCGTAGATTACTGTATGCACTTAAAGTTTATTTTTTTAATTGAGCCCACCGTAAGTTATGTAAAAAAATAAAATATTTATTTTATGTGTTTGATTGAAAGAAGCTGTAAACATATTTTTGTTTGTATTTTGTGATAACCTTCAAAGAGTTTGTTTGGGTAATCAGTAAGGCTTAACAACATAATAGAATTGGTTCTCAGGCAGCGGCTTTTGAAATTATTGTGTGGGTGGGCGGTGTTTGTTTGTTTTGGGGGGGTTGTTCAAGATAGTATGTAACCAAATTTATTACCCATATGGGCTCAAATATGCAGTGTAATAACTTTTTGATATTTGCACAGTGTATTGTAGCATTTCACTGCCTCGGTTGTGTGTTCTAGATGCGGAATATTGAAAGATTTTTATTTTTTTTTGCAAATGGAAATAAAAACTAAATGTGCATCAGACTTTATGATGATGTGGGCAGTGCCTGAGAACCAAGACTATTATTCTTTTTAGCCTTAAATTCAGTTTTTTTGTTGTTGTTTGCCTCTGATCTTTTGGCAGACTGACCAAGAAAACTTGTGAAAACTGAAATTACGTTAGTCCCATGTACTGACTATTCAGCATGCATTGAAGGTATTCTATGAGTAACTATGTACACCGAGCTGTAGCTTCTAGGTTGTTCCCTGTGGGGATTCTGGGTCAGAATATAGGTTCTCACCAACCTGTGCTTGTTGAGGTAACGGGGACATGGGTGGCCCAGTCGTCTACTGTGCCCCGATTCGCTGTGCAGAGTTGCGTCCCTTGGGCACGCCAGAAACCTATGATTGTGGGTTCGAATCCTGGTTTGCGGTTTTATGTTTCGAGGTTTGTCAGCACCATACCCGTGCTCGTGGGTTTTACCGAAGTGGTAAACTTCTGAGACCGGCATCACTTCGGGCTTTCTTCACACATTAAGCTGATGTGCTGTGATAGGACTGGAATACTGTTAAAAGCGGCGCTAAATCCAACTCACTCACTCAATTGTTGAGGCAACATAAAAGGTCATGTCGTCAAGCTTGGTGACTTGGTTCATTGCGTTACTCCAAGTGTCTGAACCAGATTTGTAAATTTACAGGCCGCTGTCATATGGCTGGAATATTTCTGGGTGTAGTGTTAAGCAACAACAAAACAAAATGAATAGATGCACCGATGAATATGTTACGATTTAGCAATGTATTTTTGTCATCATCATTATGTTCCGCCATCACCTGTGAAGTGACACATTTCTGGTTTAAGTCAAGCTATTAAATGAATGCCTTACCTCTGTGTATTCTGTCTATTCTGCAATGTACCAAAGATGATTCAAATCAGTGTTAAAAGTTCATGTAAAAGGGGTTTTATCAACCTACTATTGACTTCTAACAAGTAAAGACTTAATTTGAACTGTGTCACACTAGTTAGCTCTTAGCTGACAGATCCGGGTTAGAATAGGTCTTTAGTAGTAAGAGGCGACTATGTGCTTGTCGTAAGAGGCGTTAGTTGACGCATGTCATCGTATCCCAATTGTTTGGATTGATGCTCATGATATCAATCACTGGATTGTCTGGTCCAGACTTGATTATTTAGCTGTCACACAGCTGGAATATTGCTGAGTGTGGCATTAAACAACAAACCAACAAAGTTAGCAGACAAATTTCAAACTATGTAAAGACAGGTTTCATTTCTATGTTTTAAAATAAAACAAAATGACAAACTTTTGGGGGGAACTCCTGAACGAAAATCATCACCCCACCCCTTAATAATTAGCTTCACTTCAGTATTTCTAACCCTCAACAAGGTTTGTTGTATGTATGCTGTTATTTGTGACTGAAATGACTGGGTTCATTTTCAGATAAATTAACTTGAGATAATCTTCCTCACCAAACAAACTGCTTAAGTCGCAGAAAGAACATTCTTGAAAGTGAGTGAGTGAGTTAAAATCTAATGTCGCATCGGCATTATTTTAGCCATATAGCGACGAGACCAAGTTAATATATTCACAATTGAGTCATTTATGCAAAGTTATGTTTAAAAACAATTTATGAAACATTCTCGAAAGAAGAAACATTTTTGTATTGCTTCTACTGGAAGACCTTATGTTTCCCATTTGGGGTAGAATTGGCTCCCCCTCCCAATAACCTATGCATGTTGTAAAAATAGTTCAGTGATCATACTCTGTGTCTTGGTGGGTTGCATGTTATGATGACCCACTACCGTTGCTCATGCTTTTAGTCACTGGTTTGCCTGCAAAGGTGGTTCCAGCATTTATATAAGGGAGGGGTCAAAAATATCAAAATCCTATGCAGATAATTTTACTGCCTACAACATACTACATTTGTGTGGGGGGGGGTCCGGGCCCACCAATGGATCTGCCTATGGCCAGGTTCGTGATATAACTGGAATATTGCTGACTATGGCATAAAACAACATTCACTCACCCATGTTATCTTATCTCCTCACTTAATCCCAAACCTTCTGGTTAATATTTAATAGATGTTACCAACTGACTTTTTGGTATGGATATTAAATTATGTAATAAGAAATGTAAATCATTGATTTTTTTCATGTCTTGTTAATTATTAATGGGTCACAATTGCATTGTTTTTGGAATGACATCCCTGTGAAGATCCAGGTTAGAATTGTGCTAGTCGTAAGAGTTGACTAATGGGATCAAGCTCACTCACTTGGTTGAAGCATGTAGATCAACGTGCATGATGTCAGTCCCTGGGTTGTCTGGTCCAGACACGATTATATTTACAGACCACAATCATACAGCTGGAATATTGGAGTGCAGCGTTAAACAACAAATAAAAAAAAACGTTCTGCAGTCACATCATTTTATAGTCCAGGGAACTTCAAAATATACCACACAGTTTTTTACAAAATTTGAGTATGGTCAATATGTGTATAAAATAGCATAGTACCATATCAGTTCAGATGGCAAGGATTCCATAAAACATCGCCTTATTAGTTTTTTATGTAAGAAATCATGAAAATGTCGAAAATCTGTCATTTTGCCGCACTTATCATGTCAATGGTATCCAGCATTAGAAATTGCACTCGTCCTGCAGTCCCTGCCCAACTGCCCAGTATATAGTTAAGGGACTATAAGGACCAGTAGAAATTTGCCATTTGGAGGGGTTTCGCTATGTGTTATCATCACAAGGATTAGTGGACTAAAAAAGGTTCCTACTGTTGGGTACCCTGAAAATGCTCATTAAGATCCATTTGATTTAGTGTGCAATTGCCTAAATGATATTGTTTGACTAGCTGTTTTGTGTCAGGACAAGATGTATGTCATGTATCTATATATATATATATATTTGTCATGGCACTGTGATCTACATGTATAAACCTCATGGGGTATTGTTGTTTCATACTAAATATACCGTATTCGACATAATAAGCGCCCAGGGCGCTCTCAAAATTAGAAATAGGGGACTCTTATTAGAATATAATTTTGGTGAAAGGGTTGAAAGATCGTAAATTTCGTGGTTTATGCTGACAGCCAGAAATGATACAAAAGAAAAGTCTGTGCGTATTATATACACAACAGATACATTTTTCAAGAATTTAATTGCCCATAATTGAGGGTGCACATAACACACGAATGCGTATTATACACGAATAAATAAGTCTTGTGTACATGGATCAATCGTAAGGGTGCTAATTGGGATTGTTCACAAGCCAATATATCCGCAGATATCGCTGTGGGCGCTTATTAGAGCGGGGCGCTTATTACGTCGAATACGGAATGTGTATT